TTTAAAATTTTCTTTAATTATAAAATCATTTTCAAATTTGAAATCATTTCTTCAATTCTGACTCTATTAATTTGAAAAGGGTTTGTTCTTGATTAGGGCTGTGCTATTAGATATGGGGTTGTTCTCAATCTAGTAGGCTATTGATTTGGGTTGATGAGTTTGATAGTGCCTTAATCTTGGATGATAGAGGGAAAGGGGAAGCTTGAGCTTGAGAGGAAGGTGAAATTTGCTTAAAAACTTGATCTACAAGCTCACCAAAAAGGCGATCTAGCTCCAAAATTTGGTTCAAGACCAACATCAATATCTGATTGTAAAATTATTATTGCTAACTTCCAAAATTGTCATGCTCAGTGGGAGCTGAATTAATTTTTGTTTTTTATTTTAATTTTATAACATGTGTTTAAGTTAATGGGTTGGGTTTTTGAATCAAATTTTGGATGAGTCTGGTCGATTCAAGTTTTCCTTTTGCTGAATCAAATAGTTGATTATGATTTTGTTGCCATGTTTTGGATTGTTATTCTTATTTTGCTGACATGGTTGCTAGCACCATGAAGGTAAAAGGGAGGCCCTGAAATCATTAGTCAGATATTACGGCCCAAGATACAAACTCCAATGATCCGCCACGGATCTTCAGCTGCATATGGCTCTGAAATGTAATTCACAATTTGAGTTTGTCATTGTAAGAAATACTATTTGTGACCATATTTCGGTGACGGAAAATATATTATCAGAAAATATTATAATAAATCATCCTCCTCCTCTTAAAAACTTTTCAAATTATAAATTCATTTTATTAGTATACACATTGAAATTATAAAATTCATGTAATAAAAAATCATGTTACGAGACCAATAAATAAATTGGAAGAGTTATAATATATATTACAAATTACTAAATATAAATAAAATAAATAAATTAAATGAGGGGGAGGAATATCACGAAACACGAGGGCTGTCAAGTGAAGAGTTTGGCACCTGCACAAACGATAGTAACACGAACCGGATTAACATAGTCAATGTTGCATAGGCCCCAACCTGACTCACTGTTCTTCTCGTTCAACAGTCCCCCAGAACAATTTTTTATTTTATTTTTTAATGAGACAAAACATCGGATTTTTTTTTAACAATAAAAAACCTATCAACATGGCCTATTAATTCACTGGATTCAATGTCAGGGAGGGGGGGAAACGAAGTCCTAACAAGTCAAGTATTAGGTTGTTGAGCAAGCCCAACAATCTCTCTGCTTAGAAAACTGCTCATGAGTCATGACATGCCCAGAAGGCCAGAACCATGAAACCCATGTAGACTCAACCACGCGTATGTGTTTCGCATAATTGGTAACCCTACTCCCCAACAGTGCACCTATTAGCCGGAGAATCCTATGTAACTCCATTATTCTAATATGACTAGATTTCGTTCTATCTTGAAAAAAGAAAAAATGCACTACTTTTAATATACAGCCAGACTTACCGAACTGACTAGTCCGAGCTGATGATGATTAGCCAGCATAGAAGTGCTTGTGGACGCTATCATTGTTTCATTGTCGAAGCCGTAAAGTTCACTGTGATTGATCTGAAGAACACGCCAGCTTATAGCTTATACGTGCAGATTCTATAGGGAACATTGCTTTATTCTGTGCACCAATGTTGGATGGCAAGGAGGCCCTTGGAGCTAGCAATTTGCAAAAGCCTCTGCCTGCGCGCCGCACGGCAAATTAAATTAAAATGACTCGGATTGGATGGATATTGGATTTCATGATTTCACAAATCATAATGTAACGTCAAGTTTTCACAAGGCGAGACAATGGAATCCATTTCACAGCATGTTATCATTACAGCACGCAGCTTCACTGTTAATTGTGATGAATTCTGGGCTGTTTTTCCCACACAGCTTTGATTTGAAGCTCATGACCTGATCTCCACTTCTGTGCTGTCTTGATTCACTCTTCGTGAACACCATGCACATGCAGCAGGGACCAGAAAGAACACACACGTAAAGTGTAACAAGTGTTGGACAGACATGATATGATTGGACATGGATTTCTTAATAGACGGCTTTAATTTGTCTAATATATATGTGCATGCTTTCATTGCATGGTAGTATAATCATAATACACAAACCTGCTATCTGCAATAACCGTGATTGTCTCAGAACAGACACGCCTTTGCTTGTAGCAGGAGACCACCAGGCCTGCTAGCTAGTATTTGCAGATTTGTCCGCAGAGGAAGTGGGGAGTGGGAACTGAGTCAGACCAAAAAAAAAAAAAAAAAAAGTGATCTTATATTTTACTCTCTCTCTCTCTCTACATATACATTATCAATTTCATATTTATACACTAGAGTAATTAAAGAATAGATTTCGTCTATTGAATTAAAATCTATCAAAAAATCGTAACCTGATCCAATTTCAAGTTTATTACATACATCAATTCCATAACATGTTTATGTTTGTTTCTACACACAACATGACATGTATATCCATATCTCCTTAGATTTAATTAAAATCTGGCTTAATGAAAGATGAAATCAAAAGTGGACGCTGAAACTTCTAACTGGGGGAAAATTATTGAACGAGGGACAAAAAAGAAACTATAAAGTCTCCCACCAAGTGGATCTCCTCCTATACATAGGACCCCGGACAAGAAGCAACCTTTTTATTTTTCTCTCTCTTTCCTATTCTCTAACGTACCGTTTGGTTGATCGAAAGGATTTTGATTGCACAGAAATGAGAGGCGGGAATGGAATTGGAAGCGTCAAAGAAAATAATAATGTGCTCCCTTTAATTTTATTTATAAATTATTTTTATTAACTTTATTAATATTAATATAATAAAATACAGAGAATAAAATTTAATAAAATTACATACATAACTTTCAATAAGTAAATAAATTATATAATATTATTTTTTATTTTTTCTCTTTTATTTTTTAAGAATAGTTTAGATATTGCATTTGAAATAAAATATTATTATCAATTCAATGATTTATAAAGTAAACCACTTCATCCTTCTAAAAAGTGATTAATAAAGTGGATCGAAGGAGTATTTTCAATGTATAATTTATATGACTAAAAATATGAAATTTCAACACTCCATTCAAATCAAGAGTGTAGTTAATTTTTTATTTTCTATAAAATAAAAAAATATTTCAGATCAATCAAGAAGTACAATTAATAAAAACAAATGCGCTGGCAAAATAAATACTTGTTATAAAATATAAGCAAGTAGAGAAGAACAAAACAAGACAAGAAATAAAAGAGAAAATAATGGATAAATTTTTTTATTCATTTAGATACATTTGCTTTGGACATAACTTTTGTATATAGGCCTCTGGTCATTTAAATGCTATCCTAAAATTATATAAGATATCAAAAGGCATATAATGGTGTATTATGTAGTTTTTGAAAGTTATAAAATATTTACTACAAGAATTTTTTTTAAGTCATTCATTATAACATTAAAAATAAAGGAATTTTAAAAGATATGAGTTATGGATTTTCAAAACATAATATTTAGAACAATACTAGTATATTTCAAATTTAGTTTTTTTTCCAAAATATTTTTAGTGGTCTTACATGATCGTTGCATATTTAATTATACCTAACTTATAACAGAGTAACAAAAATTAATAAATGCAATAACAATGAGTAATTGTTCATTGCACAAGAGAAAAATACTTTCATTATTTTTTATAGGGACCAGGATGGATTAATTTTTGTTTCGTGCGTATGAATTAAGTATTGGAGTCAGTAAAAAATATTAAAAAGACAGCAGTATAGTTTTCACCCAAGATTCTCTATCACTGACTGATCTCCTCTTTTATCACACGCTGCTTCTTCCACAAACCCAACAAAATAAACAATCGTCGCCTCAGAGTTTAGACAAAGTAATTGAGATCGAACAACAAAATCAATAAATCCATATTCAAGAATCATTCGTTTAACAAAACCATCGGCTTATATGGAAGAATCTACATCCATTAAAGCCCTCAACTAAGCAATGAAGCCACCGGGGGAGAAGGCAATGACACAGAGAACAATAGAGGACAATTAAGTCATGACAATAGACTAATAAAGTGTATGATTAAATGATTAATGGATAAATCAAAAGGGAAAGAAATCTTTTAAAGTCAAGATATTACGAAGCTATATATATATATATATAATAAAAAAACTTATATATTTAACTATATATTTAATATGTTTATTTTCAATTAAATCAAGACACATAAATCTTTCATGTATATTTAACTCTTATTACTAATACTATCAATACATTAAAATTCAGTTATCTTTATTTAATAGAATAAAAGTATATTAAATATATAAGGTTAAATGCTTAAGTTTCACTTATATTATTTTTTATAAAATATAAAATTTTATTTCTCTTCCTTGATATTCAAAGTTTTCAACTTTGGAGAATACTCCTTTCTCTAAAACATATAATCATATATTTATATTTATATTTATTTAATAATATATTTTACTTAAAAATAAATATAAAATAATTCATTTATTAATTTTTTTCTTGAAAAAATACATTAGTTACACATTCTAAAACTATCTTATTGAGCCGAGGGAGGGAGTATATTCCAAATCAAGAGTATATAAACTTAAGCAAGTTGATCTAAAATATTTTAATCTATTTTAATGCAAGAGAACAGTTTTGAGTTTAACGCACAGAAATCAAAATACATTCACGTAGCTCCTCACATGTTCAGGAAAAGCAAACAGATATGTTAATATATTTTCTCATCAAACCTCTCAAAATAATTAGACATCATTATTTTTAATTATCCGTCTTCAAGTTACAGATTCTTTATAAAATTTGATATAATTTGATTTCTGTACTCCTTAACACGGTTCTTTTGTGACCCTGTATTAAAAAAAAAAAATACATTGACGAAACCAAATGGGGCCTAATGTCATATCATGCAAATGGCTAAGCTGACCATCAAACCTGTGGAAGTTTAAGGCCCTTTGCCTCGCAACATTGGTATTGCTCCGCCAGCTCATTCACAGTCCCATCACCAACCTCTGTCGCTTCCCCTCTCTCTCCCGTGCGCGCTTACTTTCTTCTCTCTCTCGTCCTTCAATGTTTTACCTGCCAGATCTCTCGGAGTAACCCTTGGGGGCCTTTGGTTTTGGGTTTTCTTTATCTTCCTTGAGAGCTTTTGTCGGAGGTTTTCCATATCGTATCAATACTCCATCATTTGGAGGATATCCTTGTACTGTTCCTGATTTTTCGCCGCATATCTTTCCGTCGACTATATATTCGACTTTCCTACCAGATATCCTCTGGGTTTTATCTCGTTTCTTCCCACTCCTTCTAGCCGAAACAGAGTCTTCTCTTCTGGCGGAGGAGAATAATGGCGAATGGTTTGGATAGAGAAAGTGGGCTTACAATGTTCAGTGATGACGAACTGAGGGAGATGAGTGGGGTCAAGAGGGTTGAAGACTATGTGGAGGTAACATGTGGGTGTACTAGCCATAGATACGGTGACGCTGTCGGTCGGCTTAGGGTTTTCATAAATGGGTGCCTGGAAATCACTTGTGAATGCACCCCTGGTTGCCAGGAAGGTCTCTCTTTCTCTCCTGAGTTCTCTCTAAAGTTGAGGTTCTGATTTTTATGCATGTTGATTTCCTGAGTGTACGATTTTTCTGTTAGTCTGAGTGATGACGTTGGTATGCGTCGTTGTTGGTCACTTAATCTGCGTTGCGTTTCGTGTTTGTAACAATAGTTATGCAAGTCGTCGTTTCTTTTGCCAGTTGTACAGTCCAAGTGTATGTTGATTTGTCTCAGTGAAGACGTCCATTCGATCGAGTAATGAAGTTACGCAAATTCTTTCTTTTATGGTGTCATTGGCAGTAAAGCATGGCTACTTGTTCCTTGTTCGGTGCAAAGTTGTGCCTGTTGAATAGTATCGCATGTCCATCACGGCTGAGATCCGGTAGTCTTATTTGTGATCAGTCAAGTGGGTCTGATAAAAGGAGTTATTTGCATTTGGGCAGCCCGTTGGATGCAGGCATCCACTTAATTAGAGTAGTTTTTCTCGGGGTAACTTGGGACCTTATTCAGGAGGTTAAACTATGAGTCTGATCTAACAGCCTGCATACCCATGTACGATGCCATGATCTAAAGTTAGACTCGTTTCCGGCATCCGCTTGCTTGCTTTCAATTGTTTGATCAATTATATATCTAGAGTTTTGGTTACGCCCAGAAGAAGACCGCCTCTGGTGATGCATTAGGACTGAACAATGCGTTTTTATCAATCCTACTGGGAATATAGTGAAATGAAACTTAGCTTGATATAGTTGTATTCTAGCATGTCTTCATGATTGAATTTGACCAGCGCCTGGGAAATCAATCCAGGAAAGAGATTATATGAATCACAGGAGATTAAAATTCTGTTGGTTTGTTCCATATATAGTATTTTTGATTCCAGTTTTATTCTGTTAATGTGTCTTTAACACTTGAACGCAGCAGACAAGCTAGTTAAATCTACTCGATTGGTTCAGAATTTAAACATAAATGGTCTTACTGAGCTTTCTGTTTGGTTTCATCCAGCAGCATCTATGTTGTGCCCTGGCGTATTTCTACTGTGTCTTCTGTATTCTTGATGTAAATATAAATTGTTTCTACATTTGACTCTTTGCCTTGCATGCTATGTGTTTTGATCCGGAAAATTAAATTTAAAAACAATTCTCTCCTCCTCAACGACCTTACTTCCATTTTGTTTTATGGATAGACAAGCTGAGTCCTGCTGCATTTGAGAAACACTCTGGAAGAGAGTCAGCCAGGAAATGGAAGAATAATATCTGGGTGATCATTAATGGCGAGAAGGTTTCCTTATACAAAACAGTGCTTCTCAGATACTACAATCAAGTGTCAAAAACAGTTAATGGTTCCAATAGATTGAATCATGGACGATCTTGTCATCGTGATGAGTTTATTTGCTGTACAAGGTGCAAAAAAAAGCGCAGATTCCGTCTGAGAACTAAAGAGGAATGCCGTGTTCACCATGATGCTTTGGCAGATGCAAATTGGAAATGTGCTGATCTTCCATATGACAAGTATGCTTATTCAGTTAGTCTCGTACATTGAAATGAATTTGTGCTAATAACCCTAAAACATAGGTGCTGCATATCAATTGTTTTCTTCATAAGAATTTATAATTGAGTTAATAAACCATGCTTGCGATGATATTGTTTTAATTATTTCCATGTTTTGTGAATAATACAAGTTATTTAAGGATAAAATAGTATAAAATCACATGGAAGTGAATGTTACTAAGCTTCTAGAACTGTAATAATTATTTCTGTGATATAAATATTGTAATGGAATGTGTGGTAGCTTTTTGAGCAGTTGTACTGTCTGTTCTGATTGTAATACCATTTTGTCCTATAGTCTTAACATTAACCACCTCCTTGGATTCTGCATTTGGGCACAACTCCTAAGTTTTCACAAAAATTAGTTATATTTTTTTTGCATCGGCTTGTATCAAGTAGTGATTATCCAAGCTACCACCTTCCTCTCTACCTGTTTCTTTTTCATTCTGCAGCTTGATGAAGAACTTTATTAATAACATATTGACATGTCTTGTGTATTTTTACTTTTAAGTTTGCGCTTCCATGCTATTACCTAAAGAATTTGAAATGCCTCTAGAACCGGTCCTTCTGGGTTGGTGGTTTTATGTAATTTTAGTTGTGCCACTCATTGGCTTTTATTCCTGCAAAGCAAAATGAAAATAAGGCTGATGAAATTGTTTCCTTGTACGAGCATGTCAATATTGCCAATGATCTTAATGACAATTCAGCCTCCATTCGTATTAACAATTTCTTGCTGCTATTCAGTCTATTGTGTCTACTTGAGTTATTATATTCTGCTCCAGTTCATGTTCAGGTCCTGGGGCTGATGTTTAATATAATTTTTAATTATCAACCAGATTTTTTCTGCGTGCCTTGCACATGAGAGGGTTAAAAGCCTAGAAAATATTGTGTTTAGGTGGAAAATTTGTAGCATGAGAAAAAATTATGGGATTTATATTCTACAGTATTATTGATTGCCTTTGGGACATGTATGCTTTTTGGCTTTGTTGGAAATTATCATTTTGCACGGCCATTGCATGCTTTGTTCTGTCCAGTGCTGACATTTCCATTTTCTTCAGCCTTTTTTCTGGCCCCATACGCCTTGCTATTGATGGTTAGATGATAAAAGATACTCTGATTTAATAGACAAGGTGCCAATGCCACCATGCCCAGTAGATTTTTTTTTTTTTTTTTAAATTCAAAAGTCCTCTTGAATTTGGGGTCTCTTCGCAACTTTCTTATCTGGGAGGGGCTATGCACATGTGTTTTGGACTCAATTTTTGATGGAAAGAGAAGAAATGAGCTTTAGCAGAATTTTGTGCTATCGTTTCGATTATTTAGCTCATTTGAAGGAATCTTTATTTTAGTCTAGTCATAAGAGAAGCATTGAAGTTACCCGCTTCTTATTATAAGACATGATTTCATTACTTCAACGTAACTGTGCTGTATAGCCCCTTTTTTTTTGGGGGGGGGGGTCAACATCCTTTCTTCCCCAAGATCATTTTCACCAATATATTTTTCAACGGTATAGACAAAGTCAAGTTCCTTTTAAAGTAATCTCTGGAGTTGTACGTTGCACAAAAAGAAATCACTGAAGTTGTACTTGGCTATTATGTGGGCAATATATAACGGTAAGTTGTATGACAGAATAACGTGCGATGATGAAGAAGAACGAGCGACTCGCAGAGTTTACAGAGGATGTGCTCGTACTCCGACATGCAAAGGTTGCACTTCTTGTGTGTGCTTTGGATGTGATACCTGCCGTTTTTCAGATTGTGGCTGCCAGACTTGTACCGACTTTACAAGGAATGCTAAAGCTTGAGTCCCGTCTTGTTTTGCTTAATTCTGATATTCACACCCCTCCTCCTCCTTATGGGAGTCATTTCTTCTGTTATAGGAGTAGTTGTTATAATTCCTAATTGGATTCAAGTTCCAACCGCAGTGCAGTGTTGATTGTTGTCACTGACTGGATTATAAATTTCTATCAGTATTCGCATTTTGTCTCAAGGAATTTGCTGCTATCTCCCTATAAAGGACCTATTTGTTTTAAGGTTATTTTCATGAAAAAGGTCTTTTTTATATACAAAAAAAATTACAATGATAGTTTAAATCAGAATTTTTAGAAAGGGTAAATTTTTTATTATCTTGAATAATAGAAAATAAATCAATGTAGCTGATGAAGGAGAATGTTCAGTTGTTGATAAAAATATAGATACACCGAAATATGATAAAATTTAAAAATCACTAATTACCAATTGATGAGTTTTTTAATGAAGAGAAATGTATGGAGATGTCAAATCTAAAAATTACTACGTAGATAATAAATTTTCTATATGGAAATGTATCACTCCAAAATATTTAGAGCACGCTTGTTTATAACTAAAGAATGAGTTATTTTTTATGAGAAAAAAAGAATAAGTTATTTTTAGATATTCTAAAAGTTTGATGAAAAGTATTTTATTGAATTTTAAAAAAGGGCAAATTATTGTGTTTGACTACTTTCATGGAAAATAATTTGGGAAAAATATATCTGTAAGCTTTTATAGTTTTTGTCAATTTTGAATTAGATTCACGTAGTTTATTTTATTTTAATTGAAGCTTGATACTTTGATTAATTAAAGTGTTTAACCTGTGAAAATTAAAACCCTTGGATTTTTTTCTTTAAAAAAAATTAAAAACTTTTATATTTTTATTAAATGATTATATAAATTTAAAATTAATCACTTAATTTTTATAACTCAAAATTTATATAATTAAATTTTAATTTAAATATTTTTTATATTTATAGAATTTTCATTAAAAAATTATAAAAAAATTAAACAACATATCAATATTTTTTCAGTTTTGGCTAAAAGTATTAAATTAAATTTTCTATAAACCTGAAAGTATTTTTGTTTGAAAAATTTAAAAATTCATTATTAATGTTAATCTTTTAAGGATTAACATATTTAATAAACCAAATTATAAAGACTTAATTAAAACAAAATAATTATAGAGATCTAATTTAAAATTGAGAAAAATTATAAAGACCTACAGATATATTTTCCTAAAAGATAACATTAAAGATGTGAACTAAGTTGCTTGATATCTCAAATCTAAAATCAAAGATTTATGCTGATAACCAGAATTTTTTGAAGAATATTAAAAAAGAAAATATAATTACAAATAACTAGAAGCAAAAATTCATGTTCTAATGTTAATAATTATCATCATTATTTTTTAAGCAGGTGTACACGTAATTTATTTTCATCACCTTCTATACTCTTTATATTTTTTTGTAGTTAATAATAATAAGGGAAAATACAGCTATTAGTTCATATACTTTTAATGCGCTTTAGTATATATATATATATATATATATATTTTGCAGTTCCAATTCTCTCTAATTTATCCTAGTTCCTCTATATTTTAACATGCCCCAAAGAATGACGAGACCGCAAATGAATATGCCATTTGTAACCAACATCAATAATCCTGTGTTGAGGAAAAATTATATTTCAATTTATTGAAACCCCAACATTAAAAAAAAAAAAAAAAGATGTACAGCATTGTTATATGCTAAATCAAAATACCACTCAACACAGATTAATGATGGTAGTCACAAGTCAACACTTTAATCTTTTTAGACATTAAAAAATAGAATGACTACCATTCCAGACAAGATAGACTAGAGAGAGATAGACTAAAGAGACCTGGAGCAATGTAAAACAGAGAAAAAAATAAAGAAAAAGTATAAGGATCAATAGTTAATTTTCCTACTAATAATGATAATGGGCACCGAAAATAGCTCAAGTGGATTCATTTCAACTCACGAGTTACATGACTTAAAAAACCACAGTACATCCCGTGTGACCCGTTCAAACATTTGCTTGTGCGGCGAAGCACGCTGAAGTTTCACTTGGTTGGTCGCCAGCCTTTTCTTCCCCTTTGGTGAAATGTTTTCCTTCCACGATTAGCAGAGCCACCGGGTCTAAATTGATTGGGAGGATGGAGATTGTCTGGACCAGACTGAAAATTATGGTTTCTTTCTGATTGCATTCCGTAGGGTAAAAAAACTTGCTCTCCACCACTACTAACAGATGCCTGAATCTGCGGGAAGTTCATCCCAAATGTCATTTGATTTTGACCGACAAGCCCCCGGGGGTACATAGGTTGTGCAAATATATTGGGTTGTACAGGCAAGCTGGTTCCTGGAAGCGGAAGCGATCCTAGATTTGGACCTAACTGCTGTTGAAATGGGATCCCTGTCATTGGCAACTGATAAGGATTTTGTACATTTCCTGGAAACATAGATATGCCATTAGGAAACAGAGCAGTTTGTGGCTGTACAAGTGATATCCCGTTTGTCCAAACTCCGTTTGAAGCTAAATTAGGGCCCGCATTTGGAGGTGGAAAAGGTGGAACAATTGGAGCTGCCTCAAAAGGACCTGGTCTGATGCCTGAAAATGGAGGAAACTTTTCATGATTATGCGTTGAAGAAGCAGGTTGGACGGGATAGGGAGGCACTGCCGGGCCATTTTTCCTTGAAGCTTCCTTTTTGTTGCTTTTATGCTTTCCATGGTTCTTATCACTAACACCTCTCTTCATCACTCTTTTCGTTTTCCTGTATTCTGCCTCTTTCTCATCATCAGAAAACTCTGCTTCATCGGACACCTCTTCATCATTCAAGCCAGAAGCATCATAGCCTTTCTTGTAAAGATCCTTGTTATTAAGCACGTGATTGGCAAATTCCGGAACAAAAGAGATTGGAGTACCCACACGGACACCCCTGGGGATTTCATTTTCAGAATTGTATCTCACAACATAGTAAGGGTTTTTCACAGGTCCAAAGATCTCGTCAACCAACCCTAGTGGTGCTCGGCTTTCAGTTATCCAGAGAATGGACCCCTCATTAAGAGGATCATGCTTCTCCATCCCTTCCACAATGAATTGGGAGCTGATTATCTGTAAAATGAATCATTGATTCAGTTTATCAACAATATTTGAAATTTATCCTTTATACTAAAGATATTTTGCTTACTGTATTTAAGCTCAGAGGTCATCAAGCAGCGAAAAATAAAACATTTGCCATTAATAAAGGTCATAGTGGAATGCCTATTATCCTTCCCAAATGAAAGATGTGGTTTTCTTTATCTTACCGTCAAAACAACTCCCACTGGAAGCATTTGATGGTGTGGTTCTATGGTCACATTTACTGGAGGAACTGAAGGAAGATCCTGCGAAGTACAGTCAGATCAAAAGTCAAGCTCAAAAGAAAATTGTATAATACTACACATCAAGGCTTTCTATTTACACAGTTTAGTTCAAGATGTTAATAATCAATTAAATATAATGAATAAAATCATGCCTCATCATCCGTTAGCTAGTATCATGCCTGGCATATCAAAACATTTCAAGAAAATAATGTAATTCAGAGATAAAAATGCAAAAGACCCAACAGTTCGAACCCTCGATTAAAACTAAAACAAGACATGCAGAGCTCGTCAGTAAAGATACATAATAACGTTACGGGAGTTAAATCACGTCACTCTAACCCATGATTTGCATCTATACAGTATAAGACATAATTATGGATAATATCGTGCAGTGAATATCAGCCAACAATCTCAGAAGACATAAGAAATCTTAGAAAAGTCCCCAATGATATCCAAATTAACCCCCACAACAACCAATTTTTATCGGCGAATCCAAAGCAGTCCTCACAAAGTAGCCTCGGAAAACACTACTTTCACTTGCACAGTTGCATAGCCAATTAAATTTACTAAATTATCAGCAACATCAGGTTCCAGACCAAAATACTATCAAGTATTTAGTCTACGATTTGAAGTAAAAAAAAAAAAAACCTTGATCTCGTTCTTTGACCTGATGGGTCCTTCCGTAGTAATGCCATCTTCATCGTCTTCATCATTAATGCCACTCCAAGAAACCTCCACTGCATCTTCATCAAGGTCATCATCGTCTTCACTGACGGCAGTGTTAGTGCCCAGCGCTTGCCCATCAGAGTCTTTTATCTCACCTTCTTCAACTTCCACTTCAATCTTTTCTGTCATTTTTTCTTTTCCCTGTCGTTCCTCTTCCTCACTATCGTCATCATCACTAGAACCACCACTAGTAGAGATATCGTCACTATCACTGCTACTACTAGAAGATGCAGATGTTGATGAAGATGGATTATCACTCTCGGAATCTGAACTTTCACTTTCATCTTTATCCATCTTAATTTCGCTCTTCTCATCATTCTTTCCAATTATAACAGAGCTTCCAAGCCCACTAACTAAACTAATATTTCCCACTCCTTCCTCAATATTACTGTTAAAACCCGAAAAACCCAATTTTTCTTGCACTTCGCCATCCACCTGCTCAATAGAAGTAGATTCCACAGCAATTAGCTCGGCACCGTTTCTCATTTCTTGCTCAGAACTTTGAAGCCCGCCAGGTAAACTAATACTTCCCATCCCTTCCTCAATATTACCACCCGAAACCCCCAAACTTTCACACGCTTCTCCATCCACTTTCAAGGCACGGGTAGATTCCATAGCAATTGGCTCAGCACCGTTTCTCATTTCTTGGTCAAGCGTACAACTCGAAATCCCCAAATTTTCAAACACTTCTCCATCCAACTTCACAGCGCATATAGATTTCATAGTAATCGGCAAATAACCGCTTCTCATTTCTGGCTCGATAGTAGAACTCGAAATCCCCATTTCGGCTCTCTCCTCCGCCGTCCCCACGCCATTCGACACGGCAGAATTTAGATCCGACACGTCGAAGGAACAGTCCTCGACCACCCGAGTGAAGGCGTTTGCGACCCCAATACCACTGTTCTCTTGATCAGCCATCGAACCTATTTGGCGCAGATAAAATCGATGAATCAGTGGGCGAAGGTAAAGACGTTTAATCCAGCACCAAGATGGTGAAGACGTTCGAGAATCAAGAGCTTCAAGGCAAAGCAGAGGTTTTATGCCCGGTTCGCTCCGTAAACCCTAGGGGACAGGTAACGAAAAACGATCCAAACTTCGGCATACGGGAAAAAAAAGTTACTAACATAAAGAAAAATTAATCATTTATATTTTTTATAATTTTAATTTAATTATAATTTAATATTTATATATTAATTTATTATAACTCATTTTTTAAAATTTTAATTTAATTGTCAATCAATTTTTATATTTTATCTTTTATAATTTAATTATTAAAATTTTAACCTTTTAAATATCGATATTTATATTTTAAAAAATAAAATTACAAAAATTGTAAATATTTTAACCTTTTATATTTATAAAGATTAAAAGAATTTAATAATTTAAAATATTAATAATAAATTTAAAATATTTTTAATTTTTATAATTTTATTTTTTAAAATATAGGGATTAATATTTAAGATGTTAAAATTTTAAAAATTAAATTGTAAAGGGTAAAGTTTATGAACTGATTTACAACTAAATTAAAATTTTAAAAATTTAGTTATAACGAGTCAAAATTTAAAAATTGCGTTGTAATTAGGTCAAAATACAATGATCAAATAATTAATTTTTTCCTAATATAATGTTGGATTATAATTTCATGTTATTTTAAATTAAATTCATGTAATTTATTCTGTTTTAGTATAACTCTTATTATTTAATTAAGATATGTTAGATTTATTAACCGCTCAAAGCTAAAATCATTTAATGTTTTTTAAAATAAAATTAAAAAAGTTTATATTTTTTATTAAAAAATTATATAACTTTAGGATTAAATATATAATTTTTATAGGAAAAACATATATTTTAATTCTTCTATTTTACTCGTGTTTTATTATAAGTTCTTACACTTTCTTTTATATTTTGAGTCTCTACATTTTTATTTTTCGGTGTTATAGGTCTCTGAATAAACAAAATGAACAAAATATAAGGACTTTAAATGAATGTAAGACACTAGAGAAATAAAAGTATAGGAATTTAAAACACTAAAAAATATATAGGTTCTATAATAAAATACGAGCAAAGTGTAGAGGTTAAAATATATGTTTTTTTATTTTTATATCTTAAAATTTATATAATTGGATTATGTCTTCTAAATAATACGTGTGTGTGTGTGTGTGTGATTTTCATAAAAAAATAAACATTGAATTTAACCCTTTAACAATGGTTAAACTCATTCAATTTTAATAAAACTACAGGTCAATTGTAAGTCTATCATGCCTACGAGTGAGATGGGCCATGAACTTGAAGTGATCCCCTTCTTTCCCACTCATGAAAGAATGAATATTGATCAATCAATTGAGCCTTTATTAATGAAAGTTGAGTTTAATAAAAGAAGTTAGACTTTTATAACATAATGAACTAGTATTTGAATCTCACAAAAAAAAAAATTACAGTTAATGTTTAACGGTGCTTTGAACATGATTCAACTCCTATAACATTATTAAAGATAATAATTCAATCATACTTTGAATATTATTGCCCTTAATAAGAGAATACTTGCGAGTAATTAAAAAAAAGCTTTTTATGTTCTTCTTTATAAGTTATCTTGTAAAATTTGTGAAGCAATTAATATTTTGTTTTATTGTCTTTAGTGTAGATGTTGAATAGTTATGGTGAAGAAAGAAATTGAAAAAAAAATCAAGAATTCAATTTGTCATGGTTATTTATGAAAAATGAAGTAGCTTTAAGACAACTGTCTAGTTTTCTTAGTCCATGTAAATCAGTTAAAGATGATTTATGTATAAAAACAGAAATAGTATAAATGATCTCGTAAATAATTCATTTTTAAAAAAATTCATCCCCCCCCCCCCCACCCTCGGGGGACGCAATTTCAACATTATTTTCTCAAGGAAGAGTAAACAACACCAAAAGCTCTGGACGCAATGGGCTATAAATGCGCATTAGCTTGGGGTATTGTCATTTGTTTTCTCTTGAAAACACGGAATCGATATTTGTTTCTTTTTTTTATTTTTTTGTAAAAATGGGGATGATATTTACCAAAATCAGAAGGGAATGAAATGCTAGGGCGTAAATTTTTATTAGCCCATCCATACCAGATGCATTCTTCGGTAGATCATCATTATCAATACAGAGCAGGATCTGCCGATCTGGAATTATTTTCTCCCTAACAAGATTATAGACTCTAAAAAATGGAGAAGATAAAAACAAATAATTATGAGTTTTTTTTTAACTTGCGCACATGTATGTTCAAGTCACAAGCTTGATTTATTTTTTTAATAAGACCTCTTTCTCAGTTGTCTTTGTTTTTTTTTCCGGATGCAAAAATGCCCGTTACTGGATGAGGTCCCACATTTTTTTTAAAAAACAAAGTCAACTTTTATTAAAAAAAAGAGCTACACCAAAAGATTCTTTTTTTTAAATAAAAACTGAATTAATCAAGATAATTGAAGCAACACAAGACAAAAGAGTGTTAAAAAAAAAGAGAGAGAAATTTTAAAGGCCCAAAACAAATTAAAAACTAATCACAGACTCCAAAGAAAGACATGAAAAACTATGACTGGAAAGGGGGAAAAAACGAGTATAGGCTCAAACACACATGACAACGGAAACTAAAAGACCATGACTTGAAGAAAAAATAAAAAAATAAAAAATAAACTTCAACCAATGGACATGAGAATATACTCCAACAGGCTCTGATTGCAATATTCTTGGACATACACTGTTTTGTTCGGAAGCTCGGGTAAAAGAAGTAAGGCAGTCCAAAGACCAGTTCAATATCGTTGGATAAAAGATCAGCGAGCAAGTGACTGAATTGATTTACAAGAATCAACTCTACATGAAATACCCAAAAGGGAAGAAAAGAGAGAGTCGCACCGTAATTTTCATATGGCTGAATAACACGAGGAGTCAAGAATATTTAACCAGGATTGAATTTCAATCAAAATCTCAACAACACAGGCATAAGATAATGAATTGAGATATACAAATTAATATTTATAACTTGGTTTTGATATTACGTGTGAAATTTAATATCTCAATTTATATAAGTTAAATAAAATTGAGTAAAGTAATGTATATATTTAAAGAATTCATGACTGAATGTGAGATCTCAATTATTTCAAGTATAGATAGATACATAATCCATTAAGCCTCTATAATTTGCTAAGAGTGCAGAGATAATGGAGAGATTGAAAAGTATCGTGTGTTTATGGTTATTGACTTATATCAACAAGATTAGTAACTGCTTTAATTAATTAATTAATTAATCAATTAATCATCTCATATTATCCTTAATTCAATCAGTTAAGAGATAGAAAATAACTGACGATTATTGAGTTATAATTTGAGTCTTTACCCATTGAGCTTATTTATATAGTCCACTTATCATGCTTTATACAAGATCATAAAAGCTAATATGTTTGAGCTTATTAATTAACACAAATCTATAATATTTATAAATATTCTAACAATATCCTGCAAGGATTAAAACCCCAGAGCTTAAAAGATATAGGCTTTAGTGTGTAACAAACATATATGCATAACAAACATATATGCATGAACATAAATAACACAAGTCAAGATAAAACACAGACCAAGCAAACTGAAAATAGACCGGCAAAAACTGGAAAGAACGCAAAAGATACTACAGCTCCAGGTAAAGGACCCCCATGTGGCTGCAAAGCATGAAGATCCCCGGTAGTATCATGCTAGCGAACGAGTTTTTTTGGCATGAACCTCGTAAAACCTTGGAGGAGAAAGGCACTCTGTTCTAGATTCGAAAACCATCGCAAGCTTCCATTTGCGAACTGAAATACAGAAACATTAAGCGGAAATGAAACAAAGGTCTGTAAATGTTGGGTCATAACAAGGTAGGACAATTGTTGGAGTTGCTACTCCGGAAGGCTGAAATGAAGAAGGAATGTTCCCATTCTCCACAATATGATGAAGCTTGGCCGACCACCGTCTAAATAGGATGTGTGCGTGAAGTCAGAAAGTGTTAGGATGTGCTCCTACATTAACTAGTTAGGAAAGAGATATAATGGATTCAGGTTCACCTATGTCGAGGGGTCTTTTTGAAAAATGTCAGGATACAAAATTATTACTTTTAATTAAAATAGTTTCATTTCTTAATCTTTGGAAGTAATTAAAAGGCTCTTGTAATTAAGAGCACAGAGTAGAGCCCGTGGAATGAAATTAAATATAGAAGATCGTTGTAATTTTTTGAAAAAGAAAAAAAAAACATTGTGCAATGACAAAAATATCCTCCGTCCATTCATACCGTCGTCACCTAAGTTGCTTCGCCATTGCCAAAAACTGTTCTAGCGACACCGTTTGAAATTTCATACAAGGCTTTTAAAATATATTGGGAAAAATTACTTACAAATCTCAAACAACGTAAAAAATATTTACAAATAAATTATACGAAGTTTCAAAAGAATACAACTGAATCTCTTAAGCCTTGATTGTAATTTGTCATAGAATTTACTATCCCAATTATCACTATATTATTTTTTTAAAAAAAATCAAGCGAGTTAATTTTTAAAAGCTTATCAAAACAGGGATATGCTTTCAAATTTAAATAAAGCTTACAAAGATATTTATGAATTATCTACTAAATAAATCTTTATATTGATAATAGAATTTAAAATATAACCTTATGAATGATGAACTAATTTTTTATTAACTAAATCAATCTTTATTAAGCATGTAAATTGGTAAATAGAAAGAGATGATCAGATTTGAGTAGTGGCATCTCAGTGACATTATTAGGAAATCAGAAAATGGACACTCCAGGTCTTTGAAGCAGCGGTGGGCCTGCGATAATTAATGTTACACATTCATAGCACCGACTAGTCTAGTATAGCTCCTTAATTTACACATGAAACATATAATTTATACCTTCTTGTCTATTTGCCTCTCCCTATGCATAATCATAATATAAATTATTATTAATTAATTTATTTTAAAAAAAATTGGATAATATTTTAATTTTTTAAAATTTTTTCAATTGTAATATTTGACTTATCCAAGATTAACTCATTAGTTACTCAATAAAGTCAGGGTGTATTTGAACAAAAATGTATTACATGTACTTAAAATCCTATATTTTGAAGAAAGCAAAACTTCTAAAAAACAAATGTCATATAGAGGAAGTAGATGTTATGATTTATGTTCCAATTTCACACAAGCTTTTCATTAGGGCCAAAAAAAAAAATTATCGCTAAGTCTCAAAATATTAAATTAATAATAATTAGGTTCCAACGAAATTTTCTCAAAATTTAGATTCATGCATTCGTAACTTAGAAGCTTTTAATTATAAATAAAATATTTAAACTTTAAATGTAATTCTTAAATTATTACTGAAACTTCTGTTTAAAATTATTAGAATTGATATTTTTATTTCATTTTTTAAAAAGAATTATTAGAGACCTAACTATTATGATTAATCATCATTCCTTGCATTAAAAAAATATGAATTTTAACTCATGATAGTTGAAATCAAATCTCAAATAGTTTACTATGAGTACATATTGGTAAAACTTGATCTTGATATTAGAGCCAATATAAGTCTTAGATTGCATTAGGCCTTGTTAGTACTACATATATAGTGCAGTGCATTCAAGTCGTCAAGTTTATTGTTTTCATGGGGAGGGATGATCTTATTTTTTCGGGAAATATTTTTTTTTTCCAAAATGAAACAATAAATGCTGAAATCAAGTCATATAAGATCAATGTCACGGACTTGGACACGCACTCGACTTTGAACGTGATTGAAAGCTACATCCAGCGACTTCGATGCTGACTAGAAAACCCACTCGTGTCTCATAAATTATTATCAACACTGAATGACTTTAACGATCAATTGCATTTTTAAAAGGGAAATAATTGAATGTACGTCACTTGTTTGATTTTGTTTTTTGTTTCAAATTTTAAAATAAAACAAAAGAACATTTTCTTTACTTACATTAACTTGAAAATAATTTTAAACTTAAAAAAATGGACGCTTGACGGTGGTCACTGGTCAGTTATGACGGACTGCAGTAACCGTGATGGCCGAAGTGGACGGTGGTGGGCCGTGGTAGCGGAGATTGGTAATTATAACTTACAAATGTTTAAATGTAATGTGTTTTCTTAAAAAAAAAATAAAAACAATTATAAGATATTTTTGTTCTTCTTTTTTTTAAATACAAAATAAGAACTGTTTTGAGAATTACTTAACACTTACCTTCGTTTATAATGAGAAAATATGAGTGAAAATGAAATTAGGAGACAAGAGTAGAACAAAAATATTTTGGAAAAATTAGTAATAAGGACCTAGTTGAAATATAAATTGTTCTCAAGGATGAAGTCTAATATTTTATTCATAAAGTAATATATTCAAATAACCAAAATGTCTTTATAATTCTAGCTCTCTCACTCATTCTCTCCTCTTCCCCCTCTCAATTGACAATATCCTCCATCTATAGCCGCCAACTCATCACCACAATAGCCATAGACTTTTTCAGAGACGCCTATCACCATTGATGCCTCATAAGAGAAGTTCATCCTCATCAACACCCTTGAAGGTCCAAATTTGCCATTTACATCACTCAGAATTGCATTATAAATGTTCAGATGCCCTCCAAAATATGTGAATTGATTTATTGTTCTATTTGTTTATTTCTTTTTTCCTGTGTTCTAAAATATTTGTGGTTGGTTGCTGTAGAATAAATAGAAAGTTAACTACAAATCGTGAAAAACAATAGGATACAGGATATCAACATCTTTGCAATTTAAAGCTTATTCACTATAGGCTCATTTGAATTCACTTACTACCTATGTTAGTATGAAAGACTTTATGATTTCTCTTATTTGCTATTTCATATTTCTTCACTGATAATCATTGCTCGAGGAACCTTACAATATTAAAATATCCCTTGTTCCCCAAGCTTGTGTCTTTGTGATTTTATTTTCTTCTTTTATTAAATTTTTGAAATTGCTCTACATGAAGTTATATCATTAAGTTTTGCTTAACATTTTTCTTTGTTTGTTTTTTTTTTACACTAGGAACACAAAATGATAGGATCCTTTCTTAATATGGTGCTTGTGTGTGTTTTATACCACTATAGCCTATCATCTTTTATAATGCTAGAGGTTCAATTTGTAATATTCAAAAATAAGCCAAAAATCAAACAACTTCATTTTTTGTGTCAATATTGGTATGATATAGATTTGTTATTGTATCCTCTGTTAGTATAAATATTATAACAAGGAAAAAAAAACAAAAGAAGTGATGAACACTAACCTTATGATACAGAGATTGATGCTTGTGACATAGAGATATTTCTAAGACTAAAGAATGAATAGTTCGAACATGCAAGTCTTGATCTTTAAGAAATCTGTATCCATGGTTTCTTAACATTTATGTATTTTTTTGTTGAATTTTTAATCTTGTGTAGATAAGTAGACGATCATATTTTTGTTCATTTAATGTCACTACTACTTGAGATCATTGTTCTTTAAGTCTCCACTTCTTAGGTTGTTAGCAAAATTTGAAACTTTAAGTATTATTTTTACTTATTTACTTCACTGCCATAGAAGCAATACAACTTTGCAAAGCTACTTTGTGTATATTTTATTTCATATTATGCTATTAATATGTTTTAAAGCTAAATGATTGATAAACATAAAGTTGTAAAGGTTATTGTACATGAACCATATGTGTGGTTCCTCGCATTACTTTCTGCACATGTTGAGGAAAGAATTGTAGGGTGAAGGAAATTCTGTATGATCTGGATGTAGCACATGTTATTGACTTGTGGTTCATAATAAACTAGACTATTATCTAAGCATTGCATGTGATGTCTCTTCATTCATATTTTGTAAGGATTGAGTGTAGAATAACCAACGAAGGTATAAAATTCTAACACTTAATTTTTAAAATTATTAGTAGACAGAAATTTTTAATAATAATAATGAGCAATCAAACAGTTAAGATTGATTATTTTATTTTCAAATGCCAGCTCTCAAACATGTGCTTTGAAGTTTGAGACGGGGTAGCAAACTATAAAGATACAAAGTAGTTATAAGATTGATTATTAACTATGTATTTTACTTACCTTTTTATAAAATCATTCTTTTAAGTCTTCTATCCCGTGCTTTCCTTTCTTACTATAATTCGGATTAAAAAATATTTTTACCCATGTACTTGAAAAGTATTAGACATTCTATATATTATAAAGTGAAGTATTTTTGCCCTTGAATTATTTTGTTAAGAACAAATTTTTTCCTCCATCAATCAACCGTGATCTGTTCCGTTCATTGCTGTTGTATCTGGCTTGTGAGGCCCATTTCTTGTGACACGAATGTGTTTGACCAGGTTGACAATTTCTTCCTTCTTGTCTTCCACTTCCACTCCTCGTGAATCGGACAAAGCCCCTTCTCTCTTATGTATTTACCGTCACAAGATTTCTCTTTTAGATTTTTCATTCCTCCTTCTCCACAAACACACAAATTACTTAATTTATTAATTCCTAAATTAAACCCGACTAATGAAAACGCTTCACAGACAGACACCTCAAGTCGTCTTCTTCGTCTCTTCCAGTTTCCCGTGCTTTCTCTCTCGCCTTGATTTTCTCGATGAACCCAGTAACGGCCATGACGATTTCATCAGCAAGAGTACTTCAGCCTGTGCACTCGATCTGTCAGAACCCCATTGTACAGAACGATTCAATTCTCTGGCATTCCTCAGATTTCTGGGATTTCGTATCTGCAACTACTCAATGCTCTGTTTTGCTTCCTCTGTTTTTATCAGAGATCCTTATTCTTCATCTTGGTTCCGTCGTTTTCCTTCACATTATTTGTGAATTTCAACCTCCTCCTCCTCTTGTTCTTCCTATTTTCCCTCTTCCTTTTCCTCTAAACAACCCACAAACAAAAACGAACAAAGAGCAGAGAGCTTTGTTGTTTGGGTGATGGGAATTAGAATTAGAAATACTGGGAAGGTAGGGAGAGGTAAAATCTTCTGCCTGAGGAAACCAAGCATTTGATGAATTTCGATGATGAGGTTGGTGTAGGTAATTCGGATGGGGGTTCGAAAGGTGTCGACTTGTTGGAACTGGAGGGGGAAGAGGAACAGAGAAATGGTCAACTTGTGGTCAGACGCCTACATGTCACAAAAAGTGAGCCCACAAACCAGCCACGTCAGCAAAAAATGAGAAAGGTCTGCAGAAAACGAGGGAAATCATGGTTGATTGATGGAAGGGCAAATGGGAAAGTATCCTCTGCTCTTTCTTCCCATCCTTTTTCCCTTTTCTTTTTAATTTTTAATTATTAGATTAAAATTTTAGATAATTTAAATTTAATCTCCTTTAAAACATTTCATTTTCCTTTACTTTTCTGTATTTTTATATTGTTTTTATTAAGTTTTAGTAATTTAAATTTTATTATTTATATTTTTTATAATTTAATATTTTAATAAAATTTTTACAGGAGATTAAATCTAAACCATTTAAATATTGATCTAATAGCTAGAAAGAAAAAAAGATAGAAAAAAATAAGAAGAAACAGGAGAGAATCCATGCCCAGGGAAAATTTGCTTCTAAGAAAAATAGTACAAGAATATAAATGCTCCATTTAATAATACAAATGTCCAGCATTCTTTTTTTTTTTTTAAAAGAGCTCTTTAATCCTTATAATTTTGTTCAAGAATAATTTGATTTAAAATAACAACTATTTTAAATTTTAAAATAAAATAAAAACTACAAATTTATTGAAATAGAGAAAAATATCATGAACATAAGTGATTTAAAAAATATTACGTATGTATCCACATACAGTGTTTAGAAATATTCAACGTGGAACATAAATAAAATTCAGTTCCAAAAGATGAAGTTAATGATTTTTTGGCCAACAAATTATAATGATTTTATATTTTTAGAACTTTACTCTTCTCACAATTTGATATGTTAAAAAATAAAAATGAAACTTTGAAATTTAAAATTTCTTTTACAATCAAAATAGTCTCTGTTCATTAAGTAAAACCCATTTATTTTAATCTATTCCTTCCTATCTAAAATATAAATATTTTCTCTTAGCCAATCTTAATTTAAAATATAAACAATTTAATATTGTAAATTTATTTTATTTTATTCTTTATATTTTTAAAGCTGAACTTGTATCCATGACTTTGTGATCTTCTCCTTACTCATCATAAATTGAAACTAAAAATAAAAAATAATATATATTTTCGTGACAATAAAAATTTTATTGATATGTTGTGTATATATTATTTTAAAAGATATTTATATTTGGATTAGAAGAAGCAAGATGATGTGACATTGATCATGATTTAGATGGCCTCGTGACCATGAGCTTAAGATTAGAATTTATGCTATATTTCCTTCCAAAAAAACTGTCACTGTAATTTGCAACAATCAATTAATATAGATAATTTTGTAAAAATTGTCTAAATAATACTCTTTCTGTAAAACTACATCAAATAATCAGGAGCGTGTATCCAAAAAAAAAATCAGGAAATAAATTGGGTAAAAAAGAAAAAAAATCACAAGTAATTAAAAAGTCATGAGATTATTTTTATGTCACATTAACAAAATTTAATGATATATAGAATGTGAGTTTTGTTTAGTCAAGTGGTTATTTTGATCGAGAATTTTAATTTTATTTAAAAAAACTAAATTATTTTCTTTTATAAGAGAGTAATCAGTATAAGTACATACTCTCAAATATTCATACACGTACCTAGAAAGCAAACTAATACACTATATCCTCCTCCTCTACAAGCAGAATATGCCTGCTCAAGGAAAAACATGACCAAAAGCCAACCAGTGATCTTTCGAGTGCTTCTGCTCCTGTTTTCAAGCTAGAGATAGACAGATTCTCGAGCAAGAGGGACAAGCACAGAAACTAAATATCAGGTCACAGAAAAAAAAATTGTTAAAAACAAACAGATGATTTGATCAGACAGAACGAATAGGGGAAACCTGGGAGAAAGTTAAAAGTGCGTACGTGGTTGGAAAAAGCCAAATGGGAATGATAGAGCATCTAACGGTAAGAACGAAGAACGGCTCCACAAGAAGTGCAGACGACGGCTCTCCAAGATTTCCAATAAAATGGGACATAACAGAATCTGGTGGCCGTTCTTATGTCCGCCACTCTGGCTCCTCCGCCACACCGCGAGCACGTGCCCGCCGCGGGCTTGCTCTGAAGCACTCGTCGTGTTTGGTCCACCAGAAAACAGTAAAATACCATTCTCCTCCTCCCCTTGCCGCTAGCCCTTTCTGTTTAATTTTTGCCCTTCTGGATATTAAGATGTTATAGGAATGAGCATTCACAATGGAGGCTATAAAGGTCGAGCATCTTGCTGATGTGTGTTCCGCGATCGTGGCCGTTAAATCCATGGATAACCAATCTGGTGGCTCGTAGCTGCTCCAAGTTCAGTGAGGTCAATAACTCAGGCTGCTGATTAAGAAGGCGTTGCTTGTTATAAGTCAGTGTCATTCCAGTGGGGCGGGGGCGATGCGGGTGGTGGTTGGGAGGTCCGCGTTGTTTCTTTGAGCATTACATGATCAAAATAATGTATCCATCTACATTTCCAAATGAAAGATATCAAATCACTTGCCGTTGGCCCATTCTTGATCTATACACTATTCAATGACATGTACTCCCTCCTGCCTTTGTTATTAAGATGTTTCAAATTTTTTCAAGTGGATTAAAAATGCCGAAATGTGTAAATAATAATAAAATCTCACCAAATGTCATAATTTTTCTTAAATCTTTAGAAGCCTTTTAGATATTAATAATTTTTTGTGAAATAAAATAAATAAATATTAATCACTACTTTAATTTAAATAATTATCATTTTTCTCCTAGTACTAATTAGAATAGAATAGTTAATTATAATTTTTTATACAAATTTTTTATTTACTAAAGTTCAAGCACTGTAAATATTCGTAATTACTTTAATTTAAGTAATGATTATTTTTATTTTGACAATAATCAAAATGGAATAGACAATTACAATTTTTATTTACACAAGAAAAGTTATAATTGTTTGTTCTATTATAGTTATTGCCATAAGAAAATTAGTCATTACTTAAATTAAAACAACCATTAATAGTTACTTATTTATTAAAGTATATTTTTGTCCATCTACTTTCTTTCGAGAAGCACTAGTTGCCCTATACTAATAAACAAGGTATCTTTCATTTTAAATTATTTTTTAGAGAAACAAAAATTCCTCTTTATTAGTGATCTTAAGGGAGCGGGGTTTTTGCTCCTTCAAAAAATGATTTATAAAAAAAAATACTCCATTTATTAATACAAAATGCTCAATGTTTCTTAAAAGAAAATATAGAAACAAAAATGCACTTTAACCCTTACATACTAGTAGATTTTCAATCACACGTTTAATATGCTAAAAGAATATATAATACATTCCCTTGGAAAAACTACCGAACTCATGCCAATAAAGCAATTTTAACTAATTCATGTCTTAAATTTTATTCCATCTTTTCATTTCTGCCCTCAATCAATGTACATAATTTTTCAACATGGGTCAATCTTTTTATTCATTGATTAACGATGCTTTAGGAAAAAAAATTATTAAAGAGAGGTTAATACAAAACTTTCCAAAATTGGTCTTATAATTAAAGAGAGGGAGTAATATTTGATTGATTTTCCGTGTTGTATGGAACTTTGCGCTATATTTAAATACAAAAAAACACAAGCATCCATGTGACACTATCTTAAGGTTATGGATTGAAGAGCGTAATTTTCATAGGGAAAATATCAGTTCTAGAAAATTTACATTAATCAGTGATCATTTATTGTTAAGACTTAAATGAATACTTATTAATATTGATTAATCTTTTATTAACAAAGTATCCATTCGGGTTTTAATGATAATTCATTCTAAATCAACAATAATTTATTTAAATTTATTTTTCATTTAAATTTTAACAATAATTGATACTAATATAATTTTTTTCTGACGGTCCTCAGTTGCTATTTTCCATTTTCATATACTTCCTCTGCTCATAGTTTGTAATCGAATATTATGCAGCTCGCCACGTAATTTTTTAGCAGGCGTAAATATTTGCGGTTCTTAACCATACGGTAGACAACCATCGACTTCCTTTTTGTTCCTTTCTATGATTTGTGAATGTGACTGATCGAAGTACAATTAATGCAATAGCTGCATTTTTTAAAATGATAATGAACGTCACATTTCAAAGGGGCCATTTGTAAAATGTGCATTAATAAAAAAGAATGAAAAAGTGAAAAAAGAAAGAAAGAAAGAAAGAAAAAAGAAAATGAATGAAAAGCACCAAAAGATGTAGCCTAAAAACATATGTTTAATAAAGAACATAATTGATATTTAGTTTGTAAAAAAATATTTATAAACATGAAAAAAAAATTAACAAGGTCAAATGAAAACATTCGTAAAATCAAAATAGTCTTGACCGTTAGATCTTAATACATGCAAGGGGTCTTTTGTTAGCAGCAATCATGGTCAGACACCCTATATGACACAAGTGGTTGGATTACCCACTCATCTTGATTTCTATCAATTTTTTTAATCAAAACCCACAGATAAATCGTGCTAACCAACAAGATAAGTCATATCAACATATAATAGATTACTACAATCAAGCAGTGGAGCATCAAAAATATGAACATTTAGATGATTGATAGGGGCTTGATGAGATAATCAATCTGCGCATTTATTTGCTTTCCTGAAGATATGGTCAAACGTGATTGTCTAATCTCGCATGATAAGATCTCTAGTTTTGTTGATACTTGTAGAAGATAGGTGATTAGTAAAAAACTCATTACAAATTAACGAGAGAGCTTCTATAGAATTAGAGTAGACATTAACTTTGTCAAACTTTTTAGCCTAATAAATGTTTAATCTTTTTTAAGATGCCCATAAGTTCAATTGCTGTACTTAGGTGATATTCAAGGCATTTAGAGAAGCCTTTAATCCAATTGCTTTAGCTATTCCGAATGAGACCACTATAAGTAGTTGTACCGTGAATGTTGACGAAGCCAACTGCATCCAATTTAACCCATTCTTCTTTAAGGGAGGACTATTTAGCTTTATTTCTATCACCCTTTTGAGATAAGATGTTGATTTTAGATTGAAGGTATTGATCATTGAGTATATTCAGGATGCTGCTGAAAGCAATGTCTCTATCATGAATGTCTTCTTAAGAATAGATATTTTTGCATATTTTTTTCCAAATGTTCCAACACATGTAGGCAAATAGTCTTTGCCAAGAGGTTTTTCTCATACATGCATTGCTTGTATCATTCTTCGCATTCCAAATTGTTCATTTCTATAAAGGGAGAGAAAAGAAAGTGTTAAGTTTCAATTGTTTAACATTCAAATCTTTTTAAATTTCTTGCAATCTCTCAATATATGAATGGTAGAGTCTAAAGAGTTACACACAAAGGGACATGTCCTGATGCAAGGATTGCCATCATTAGAGCAGGTGAATTTAAGTTGAATAAGATCCTAAGCCACTTTCTAGAGGAAGGATTTCATTTTCTCATAAGTTGGCTATTTTCAAATCTTAGAGTTGTTGCTGCAATGGTTGTCAATAATCTTGTAAGTAGACTTGATGGTAAAGTTACCAACATGAGAAAGCTTTCAACATATAACATCATCATTTGCATTGGGGATTTGGAGGTTGAATGATAGTGATATGGTTAATGACATCCTAGTGCAAATACCTACGTAATTGAGCAACCTTTCATCTACTTGTCGTAGAGCAAAAGTCAGAGACTTTCTGCATTAGGATTTGCATACTTAACATAGGGTTAGTGAAGGGGGCACCATTTATCATACCAACATGATATTTGATCCCCCTTCCCTACCTTTCAACCCATATGAGTTATGAATTAATTCCAAACTCTACAGATACTGGACCATGTATAGGAATAAGAGTTGGTTTTATATACCATGGGAATGATAGGGTTATTGCATTTTTATTTATCACGCATGACATGAACCGAAAAACAATTAGGCTTTACAATAATTCCCCAATAAAGTTCCATAATATAGGCCCTGTTTTGACTCCTTGACTTTTTAAAGTCAAGTCCTCCATGCTTATTATCTTGAGTGACATAGTCCCAAGATAAGAGATGAGACTTTTTAGAACCATCAGTAGAATCCCAAAGGAAGGTACGAGAGTGTGCTTCCATATTAGACATATCATTGTCAAGTAAGAGCATAGTCTAGATAGCATAGCTAGGAGTAAAAGATAGAACCAATTTTATAAGCATAGCTTTCCTAGTAGTACTGAGGTCAATTAGATAGGTGTGAGTTAACTCTATCAAGAAGAGAAGGGAAGGTGAGTTTAGAAACTGTTTTATGAATAATAGAAATCCCTAAGTATTTGCCAAGGTTTTTGGTCAAAGGGATTCTTAATTCTTCGCTAATCTGAATGACTTAATTGATATTAACATTCTTGGAGCAAAAAAGCTTGGATTTGGCATTGTTGACTTTCTACCCTGAAGGCTTGCAGAAATTAAAAAGGCATTGTTGGATAATCCTTACTTGTTTAAGGGATGTTTATGCAAAAAGAAATAAGTCATTAGCAAAAAATAGATATGAGATGGGAGGTCCATTAGTTATTAGGCTAATGGACAACCAATTTTTTTTATCAATGCTACTAAGTATGTTATAACTCAATCTTTCAATATAAAGAATAAAGAGATAAGGTAAAAGAGGATCCTCTTGTTTGATTCCACGTGTTAGAGTGAATTCATTAGTTGGTTACCATTTTACAAAACTTTCATACGAGTAGTAGAGATGGCTATCATGACGAGTTTCCTAAATTTCTCGTTGAGCTCAATAATATAGAGAGTATTGTTAATAAAATCCTAAGAGAGTCAATCGAAAGCTATTTCAATGTGAATCCCTTCTTCCTAACTTTATTTAAAGTGAATGATTTCTTGTGCGATGATGAGGTTGCTATTACTTTGTCTTCCTTACAGGACGCTACATTGATTATCCCCAATCAAATGATTCATACATTGTCACAACTTGTTAGAGAGGAGCTTGGAAATTATTTTGTAACTGATATTGCATAGAGATATCGGTCAAAAGTCCTTCATACAAATTGGAATTTCATTTTTAGGGATGAGAGTAATGAAGGTGTCATTGATCTCATTAAGGACAATGGGATTTGTAAAGACCTTCTAAACAAGTTGAATAATACTACCTTTGAGATCATTCTAATAGTATTGAATGAAGCCAACATTTATTCCATCAAGACAAGGAGTTTCGAAAGGCCCACTATCAAGCGCAACATTTTTTATTTATTCTTTAGTAACATCTCTATGAATTAACTACAATTGAGTAGACTTTACAGGAGGAAAACTCCATGTGGTGGTCTGGGCTAAGCATCCTCTCTAAACATGTTTTCAAAATAAGAAGTAGCTTGATTCTTGAGAGAGGAGTGATCCTGAATCCAATTATCATCTTCATCTTGGAGGGTTAATATCTAATTTCTTTTCCTATTGATGATGGCAGTTGCATGAAAAAATTTATAATTTCAATCTCTTCATTTTAACCATTTGCATTTAGACTTTTAGAACTAAAGAAGCTCCTTTTGGAGAAGAATTTTATTATAATCTTCCCAAAGCAATTTTTTATGTTTCCTAAGACAATAGCTATCTTTAGTGCGATCAATTCCTTTAAGCCTTCTTAGAATCATTTTCTTCTTTGCTGTGATATTGCTTATATTATTTTAATTCCACAAAGTGGTTGAGTTAGCAAACTTTAAGGCACCTTCTTTCTAGTCTTTCTCAACCCAAGAATATTTAACTATAGATTGAAAGGATTCTTCAATCATCCAAGCAATATGACATTTAAAAAAGTGCTTCATGATATCTGGAGTTAATCGTATTCTCAAGTTGGATTCTAATCAGGTGATGATCGAAGGCATATTTAAAGAAATGAAAGGTATTAGCTTGGTTGAATTGAAGTCTCCATTTAGTGTTGTAGAAGAACCAGTCTGATCTCTCCTTAATGTTACCTTTCTCCCAAATGAATCTGTCTCCAACAAAGTTAAATTCAAGAAGATTGGAAGAGTTGATACATTGTTTAAAAAATTTCATAGACCTCTAATGATTCCCATTTCCTTCTATCTATCAATTTCATAACTCAGTTTTTTTTCCTTATAAATAAGTTATATAAAATTTGCACAATACTAAATCTCAATTAGGACAAGTTCCTCCCATGCCATCCATATCACAACTTATGTCCCCGAAATGAGAAAATTCTTCAGAACAAATAATATTTTTTAAATACAATTATCTGATGTGTATTATTATCATGCCATACTCAAATATTCAATTTAATTGGATAGTTTTTTCAAAGTAATTTTTTCTATCCACGATAAATTTTTAACCTCCATAGAAGATTTGAAAACAAACTATTTTTGGCTGATAAAAAAAGTATACTATAAAGAAGGAAAGTAAAGTAATATTCCGTTCGCCAAACAATATTATATCAAGGGCGCATCTCATCCTTGTTTGCATATGCACAACGAGGTTTTCTATCTAAATCATCTGGTATGAGCATGACTCAATAATCCTCCAGCCCAAAACCTGTGAAAATAAGCAAGCCGCAAAGAGTGGAAGGCATTGGCAACTGAGAGAAATCAATTTTTTGATGGCAGTCAGCAAGAAGCCAAGTGCTCCGTCCACCTTCTGAGTCACGTCATAGAGCTGCCATCATGGTGCTCCTCGCAGCTTGGCGCTTCATCTCTGCAGCCTTGCCGCTACCACGGAAGTACATGTATACTTGCTGCAAATGTAAATTAAGAAAAGGTCAAACAAGATATGCATTAGAGTAGCCAAAAGAATACCGAGTTACTTCTAGAGATTTTTTTTTTTTTTTGGAGCAAAAGAGTTACTTCTAGAGATTACAAGGACCTGAATAACCCAGACGCTCAGCAGAGACTCAAGGCAGAATAACCCAAACCCAATAAAGTAGAATATCTGCAAGTGACAACAAGAATTGAAATAACAACAACGTCCATCTATTGTTGTATGGTTATATGCTGGCTGATCATCAAGGAGTCAATTACAATATTGAAAACTTACCCCAACCAGTGCGTGGTCATCCAGCAAATCTATTGCGGGCAAGATACCTCTGTCCACATCACACCGTTATACAACACCAACATTAGTTTAATTAAAAATGGAACCAAAATGGTAGAGTCCAATAATTGCATATTTCTACATGAAATCACTATGAACATGTTCACACCCGCAACCTTGAGTGGATACCAATCCAAACGACAACATACTTTAGTGATCCCCAATGTTTTCCTCCCTTCCAGTAGACCAAATCAATAAGAGAGCACTTATAAAACCTTGCAGGGTTGCAAACTTAATTAATACCGTAAATCCAAAATAAATACATGATTTGGAGAAAACTCACGTGAGAGATTTTCCTTTGAAGATAATCGGTGGAGCAACTGAAGCGAATATGCAAAAGCCAATGTGCAACTGATTTAAAAAACAAGGGAAAAAAGAGATTAGCACTTCGCAAATTAGCGCAGTACAAGTGTCCACAATGAGGAAAAGCATAAACTTGCCAGGTAAAACAAGAAAAACCAGCCAAACTTCATAGCACTGTCAGTCCTGAGACAAGAGATAGCACAAAATTATGAGAACAGAAAAAAAATCATATCGAATAAATGAAAGAAGGGAGAGATAAAAAACAAAGAAAAGATCCTGATCAATAAATGCTTCCTCTTGACAGTATGTCTGTATGAGCATACCCAAAAATTTGCAGGAGCATTTAAAACCTCAGGGATAGTCTAAGTCTAACTCATTAGAGGAGTCAATGCTCTTGGGGTTTCATAATGCTAATAAACCATTGGTGAAGGAAAATATAATTTATTCTTTTCAGACCATAACAAAGATCAAGAAAATATCAAACAGGCTCCATTCCAAACATAAAAAAATGAATAAAATCAGATTTAGCACTACCTCATTGCCCGATAAAGGGGGCGATACCACAACACATAGCCTCCTGGTACACCTGAAATAAAGTAGATAATAGCAAGAAACCATATCGTAGGACCTACAAGGAAAAAAAGAAAAATCATGATGATTAGGCTAGAGTATGATATCATTATAGATTATAACTCAATAAATAATCGTCAAACACACCTTCCCCTTTGATCCAAGCAGTAGTAACTGCCAGAATATTCCATGTAAGGCACAGAACCAAACCTGCACAATGTTTCACAATTCAGAAACAAAACATATGTAAATTAAGTAAATTAAAAAAATGATATAAAAAGATATTTGACAGAGTGGAAATTGTTAGCAGGAGATGGAAGATTCATGTCAAGAATGGATGGTGGAAAGAACAACTCCCGGAAGCAGATTCCAAAACTTAGAAAAGAATTAGACAAGCATGCACTGAAAGACCAAATTATCTAAAGCCAAGATGTAACCCCTGTGTGTTATTATGGACAGATAAAAATAAAATATCACAAAAAGTTCTTTTGTGCTTTTTAAAAAATAATACATCATAATTAATATAATATCAATTATAATCAAGTAGGTAGTATCTAATACAAAACACTAAGCTGGTAAAATATATATATATATATATATATATACATAACACTAAAACATACCTAAAAAGTTGTGAATGCAACATACTGAACCTTCTGGAGATGTATTGGTATTTCCTTCGCAATGTCATGATGAATGATAGGGAAAAAAGGTGGCCAATTTTTGTCCTCTATAACTATACCAGCTGAGGCAAAAAAAAAAAAAAAAAGATTCATATTGTCATGCCAAAGACATGTTTCCAGTAGGATTCTGTAAGAATGAATGAGCTCACATACCTCGGGCTATAGCATCTTCCCTTCGTTTTAGTTCCTAAACAAAATCATGAGCTCGTTAACTATCTGACAGACACAAAACATAGTATATGCAGAATGACCAAGTCAACTGATAACAGGATAACATTGTGGACTTATTCAATGTACCAATCTAAATACTCAACAGAAGTGGTATCCATTTACTATTACGAATATCAAATAGTAAACATGAATAAGGGGGAAAAAAAGAATAGGCAATGCCATTTGGAATCAGCATGGACCGCCCTCACTAACCAATCAGGTCCCTCGATTTGAACTTGTAATTGACAAAATCATCATCATTTCATTGGCACAGAGGAAAAACAAACTAAAATATTGAATCTAACATAGCAAGTTTTGAATATTACACTAAAACTTGTTTTAATGCTATCAAAGGAAGATAGCAGAATAAATCACCTGTTCCCTTCTTCTCAATTCAGCTTCCTTAGCTTGAAGCTCCTTCTCTCTTGCCTTTACATCCTGAAGATGATAAGAAAATAAGTAAATCTATGGCCATCACAAACTTTTACATAAAATAATTTTGACATTCACCTCAATGTATTTAAAACTTATTTTACCTTTGAGGAATCTAGAGGAATATCGATAGTTGCTCCACGATCATAAGGCTCAGGAGGAAGGGGTGAGAGCTTAGATGTTGCAGAAGGGACTGTGCCTGAGTTCTGAGAAATTAAGCAAGAATTAGTGATGGTAATGAATGAACCTACATTACCATGTTTTGCCTTCCGACCAACCATAAATCAGAGAGGTTTTCATTCTAGGATCTCCAAAGAGACGCAAACCGTGTGTGTGTTAAAGTCACCAAAATTGCTGAATTATTTCCTAACATTCATTTAAATCCTAATGCAAAACAACCAACTGTGTCAATAACATATCTGGATGTTTGATGCAACATACCACCACGTCTTTTCTTATTCCACTTTTTTAGTTTTTTTTTCAGTTGATATTTGCACTACATCACTTCTGATTTAAAATCTGCAGCCCTCCCCTTAATTCATACTAGAGTAAGGACCAAAATATCAGGAAGAAACTCTACTTAATCCCTCTAAATCAGTTATATTTTCATCCTCCTCTTGAATAGAACCCAAACATGATATCTATGGTGTTTATTAAGCATGCTGGTGGAACATCATTAGAAAAATATACAAACAAACAATAAGCAATAGACAATCATAACAACTTGCAAAACAGTGGCAACCTACATCAAGTTATCTCCCCAAAAACTTTCTCCTCTCCACAGCCAAAAAGAAGAAAGGAAAAGGAGGAAATCTCATCTTTCATATAACTCACAACCCATTAAACAAATTGATTTGACAATTTAATAACAATGACAGAGCCAGTAAACATAAATCGGTTCAGAATTTAGCCCTCCTGGCCCTCGTGCAAATTTCTTGTGATCTGCTTTAACACAACCATGGTGATTGCAAATGTGGATTGTCATAGTTACTAGGCCATTGATATGAAAGGAAACTGGGTAAGATACTGATTAAGAGATCAAATAAGAAGGAAGGAAGTAAATGCATTACTTCCAAGTTAAAATATTTTCAAGGTGTAAAAAGCATGCATCAGAAGGGCTAAAGAGGACAGAAAAAGAAATAGACAATGAAATTCACTTCACAGGTATCAATCTAGTAAAAAGTATTGAAAGGATCTAATCTCCACAAGAAGGAGTGGAGGAAGTCCAAAATCATGAATATGTTGTAGAATCTTTCCAGCCATAAAAGACCATTCACCGACACAAAGTTACTTCCTTCTTTTCAGTTGCCCCCTCCCTAGACCAGCAAATGTCTGAAACAGATGCTGGTATTCCAAAATTATACAAAATTTGGGCAGAAATATTCCATAGCCCAGGCAAAGTAATGAATAATGAAGAGATTTTTTCTTTCCTCTATTGTTTTACAATATCACTAAGTTTATCATATTGGAAAAATATGATCTTCCATATCTAATAGTTAAGTCAAACTCTGATAAAAAATTTGAGCCCAATGATAGGTTTTGATATTTTGTGCCTATCAAGGTCGCAAAGGAAAAGTATCCTTTTTTTTTTTGGCGTTCACATAAACAAATCCTTCCCAGTTCCTACATTCAAATTTTAAATGACAATCCATAAAATGACCTGAGAGTCTCTCCAAGCCTCCACCCATATAGTATCTATGAGAAATCTGACATCACAAATCAAGCAATTCTCATATCTCACATTCTCCAATCCCTCCACTCTACAGAAAGTATTCTTGAAGTTTCTTTATCCTCCTTGAAACTGAAAGGGGAACATTCAGTAGAGACATATATGTTGAGGATCTCTTCTATTCTTGACCTATTAAGGATAAATGTTCGGATTAACTGCAGATTGGAAAGTTCTACAAAACCAAAAGTTCAACATCACAAATAAAATATTTTAAGAACAGTTTAATAAATGCATAGTCCTAAACCCCATTGACAAGGAATAATAAAATCTTCTATTCTAACCTATTAACGATAAATGTTCAGACTAACTGCAGATTGGAAAGTTCTACAAAACCAAAAGTTCAATATTACGAGTGAAATATCTTTAGACCAGTTAAAAAAAAAAAAATGCATAGTCCTAAACACAATTGACAAGGAATAGTAAACCCAACACCACCCTTGCATAGAGGGATTCATTTCAAATACTGATATATGCTAGTGCTTTATTTACTTGTTAAAATATGATAAGGTAAATCATTATATCTTAAGGAACTCGTACCCATGATATGAAAGAGAAAGCTTACAGTCATATAAAATGCACCTCCACTATAGGTTGATTTCCCTTTTCCTTTAGCTGCTCCATCCTCATAATGATATTAATTAAAATTGATGATGGTTTATATTTTAATAATAAAGGCAGCACATCTGCAAATTTAGATTTATAATCTTGACGATTGTGTTTAAAGGAGTTTTGATTGTGAATTCCAAAAACTTTTTTATACATTCATTCTTTAACTTAAATTTCCTTTTCCCACTGCATAAATAATTTACTGACTACATAAATCATGCTGAAGACAATTTTGTTCCAATTCTCCTACAGCATGTGGTAAAAACAAAAAAATTTCAATATTGTTCAGCCTGTAATGTAAACTTTTGGATTACTTCAGAAAAACGTATAATTTCGATAGCTATGTTTAAAGTATTTCTCAGACTGAATTCTAACAGCTTTTTGCATGTTCATTCATTGAATTACATTTTTCCCGATGCATAAATAATCAATGAATGGCATTGATGATTAATCATGTTTGAGACAATTTGTTCTACTTCTACTAAACCCAGAAAGTAAAACAACTAAAATTAAATTTAAATGCCGTTCAGATGGTAATGCCAACTTTTGATTTACTACATAATATACATAGATATATAGACAATAGATGATAGAGATATACATAAAAATCATTCCAAAAAAGAAGATGAAGAAAAACGGTCAGCGAATCATTGTCAAGATCTTAGTCTTTTGCTCAAGCTTTAATGGTAAAATGAAGTCAGTCAATCCTGGACGATTTTAGAAACTAGCGAGCAATCTTAAGAAGGAAGCTAATGGGATCGGAAGAAATATTTATCCTCAAGTTTTCAGTTTAACACACCGCCAACAGACCATAAGATTTATACTTCTGTTTTTCTGGATTTGTCAGCAGACAAACGAGCATCCCCTGGGTGCAGGAAGCATCGCCTATATAGCTACATTGTGAATTTCAATTTACCAATTATCTAGAAAAGAGCTAAGGGATCTGACATAGTGACATCCAACCAAACAGAAACCGGAACTATAAGTTAAACGCGCATCATAATCATGATATAAACAATAAACTCATTACACCCGCAACATAATAGATCAAACTCAAGGAAATCAGACACATCAAGTTGAGCTACAAGATTTGAATGTGAAAGACGTAAATTTAGCAATGAACTTACCGCGAAGGGATTGACCTCTTCTTCTTCGAAAGGATTTGAATCGTAGCGACTCATGGGGCCAAATAAAAATAGATCTAAACAATCAGAGTAGGCAAAAACCAAATGGATCTAAATAAAAAGGATAAGGAAACTTCGGGTTGGTGACAAGGATAAAGAGACGATTCCTTGTTGCCGCCAATTGGCGAGGGGGCCTGGCGCTGGCAGAATCAGAGAAGGTTTGGAACAGATGGCTTCGGTTGAAGGTATTATTAAGTTAGTAACTGAAAAAGCAAAAGGTTGAGGGTGTTCCGTTCGCGCGTGACCGTAGATGATTGGATACCCTGGCACAGTAGATGATGTAGCGGACGCGCAATTTATTACCGCTGCCTGCATAAAATAAAATGTATTTAATTATTTACATTATTTATATTTATAATATAGCTTTATTACATTTAGAGATAGAAATAAGCTAAGCTGGATTAAACTTCAGTAATTGAGCGGAGCCTATGCATTAAATTATAAGTTTGAATTTAATTTGAAATTTATATAAAGTTTTTTTCAAAGTTTAGGCTTCAGTTTATTTAAAATCTAACCTAACTTAAAAACTTATTTAAAAACCTACTTAAAAATAAATTTATATTTTAATTTTATTTGTCTTAAATATACTTTATAACTATTAATTAATAGAAATATATAACATGAAAGTGATATTTTGTCTTTTTACTGCGTTCTCTCTCTTTTTTTTTGGCCAATTATTGTGTTTTCCCAACAATCAAAATGTCTTCATTATTAATTGGATCCGCTTGCGATCTTGACCAATTGGATTGAAACGTTGCCTTAACGTAGTGGTAATGTTTGGAATTTAAGAAAGAGAAAAATGGCATGCTCATATCCAAAAATACATGTAACTAAAACTACTCATTCTTTTTTAATTTTTTTTCACCTTCAAATTAAGACTAGCTGACATAATATTCTAAAGAAAAAACAGAACAATCATTTTCTTTGGCCAACCTATTTCTTTTGGGTGCAAGTGGTCTGGCCGTTTTCGTTTCCGCACGATACGTTACGCAGCAGGAATTGTCTATCGGAAGTATCTACGACAGAAAATACATCGTAATCCGCAACTGTCAACTACAAGTACAACGATTGTTTTGGCGGGAAAATCTAACAATCAAACCAAGAGCAATGGCCAATCCAAAGCAAGTGAAATCTAAAATTGCAAAGCAATTTTTATCAAATTACATGTCACTTCCAGAGCCGACCATGGAATCAAACAAGTGCACAATGAAATTACCTTTCATTACCAAATATTTGGAAATAATTATCAAACAAATGGGTTAGTCAGTACTAATTTCTGTGCAATACAAATATCATGGCAAGGTTTTAAAGAACTATACATAGGAACTGTCAAATAAAAATGACAAGAATGAGGAGGGAGGATTGGCGACCACTACAATACTCTTAAGCTGATAGAACAAATCTCCTCCCGCTAGTACTTCACATGAATACTTCATGGGTTAGTTGGAAGCAAAGAAGCAAGGGGACGACTATTTGACATGTGTACTTCTACTTCTTGATACTCTGGAGGTAAACCTCTGCACATTCATTTACGAGGACATGTTACTACTTTTCCTCACTCTTCATTTGATCCACTTCTGCGAGATCCCTTCCTTATCATATCTAGTAGGTATTGAACAACCTCTGACATAGGTGGCCTAAATTCTGGCTCCGACTGCAATACATACATTGAGACCAGAATATTAAATCCCAGAAAACTTGGGCACATAAAAAAACACAGTAACTGGAATCAGTTGGTGACAGTAGTAAAGCTTGAAAGTTGCATTAAAATATCACCTGAACACATTGAGAAATAATGTCTGCAAAGTTTGATAATGATTTGGCTGGGTAGTCTCCATTAAGAGAAGGATCTACCATATTTGATAAGGCATCAATGTCATGGAGTTGGGGAATTGCCCATCTAACTAGAGATTGCTCTCCTCGAGAGCGTGTCCTGTCCAAGATGTTTAGAAATGCATAAATCAGCTGGATGAAAATTCAAAAGGGGGTGAATAAGTACTTAGGCTATTGCATTCTTACCTGTCATAGGACTGGCGGCCTGTCAATAGTTCTAACATAACCACTCCAAAACTGTATACATCACTCTGGTTTGTGTAAATTCCAGACTCAAATTCTGGAGCTCCATAGCCATAAGCTGTTAGCAGATGCCCTGAGAGCTGGAAAAGATTGGTGTGACATCAGTTTGTTACTAATTAAAAATACTTTGATACATTAATGATGTGCTTTTAAGTTGTCCTGTGACTGTGCGAACAACTTCAGATGAACATCCAGACAAAACTTTTAACGTTCCACATCTAATTGCATGACTATGAATGTACTAGTTCATCCTCGTTTTCCAATTTCCCCTCATTACAGAGACAGTCAAGTTTCAAGCTGATGAATACAAAGCAGCATTTTGGTGAGGCTGCCAATTACTATGTATGTACTGAAGATGTCCTGCGTCTGGGGCCATGCTCAAGCTGTCCTAATAAATGCACAATTCAGAGCAATGCATACATATACTATGTGTGTTCGTCTCTTTAATATTTTATGTAAGCAAGAGTAATGAGAATTTTGCGCCGAATGATATAGATGCAAGTGCGATATTAGCTCCTACTTCCACCTTCTCCCATGGAACCTTCCAGAGGAAGCTTCATAGCTTTTAATATTACCATAATACAACTCAAGTTAGAAAAAAATGCATGGGTGAGAAGACCAATATTTCTCAGTTCCAAACCGGTTATATGACCAAAAAAGAGGTTTGACTTGAGTAAGTTACAAAAGGATATGTTCATAGACAACAACATCCATAGCAAAATATAATAAAAATCATTATTATACCTGACTTACAGAACCTGAAGCAATCAAGGGTGCCAAACCACAATCAGAAACACGCACAGACAGATCATCATCAAGGAGAATATTGGCAGACTTGAAATTTCTGTGCACAACAGGTGGTTGGCAGATCTCATGCAAATACCTTCTCAGATTACCACAGCAAGTATTAGATTCAGAATATCAAATTATGTGTATGTAGAATGCAAATATGTCTACTCCAAAAAAAATTTCAAATGCTCAACATCCCAATATCTTTTTTCATGAATGTCATTATAAGTCCCAAAAACCTTTTCCGTCTATTAAATATTAGAGGTCAGCGAACAGATTTGATATAAGACACTGAGATTATTCAACTTTAACTTGGTTTTGCTTCTAATTAGACACCCCCGCTTTAAATATTAATCAAATATAGCTCTTTACACATTTTCTAGCAATAGTAGATCCACAATAACAACCAACATACAGAAAGATACCTAGGATTGTCAATGGACTTGATTAGATTAACTTTATAGCTGGCTAAATAACATCGCACAAATAATGTACAAAACCTCTATTGGAATGGAAGCATTGGATTAGAAAAACTCAATCAAAAGGGAGGTGACAAAGTGAACATTAAAAACTGATTATGAATGTGTATTTACAAAATGTAAATTTAAAGCTGAGTCCAGAGACTTGTAACCCTTTGTCCTCATCTACTCTCTTCTCTAATTTCTTTTCTTAATTACATGAGTTGATCAAATCACCTGAAAAATCTATCCGATGTAAAGGTAAGTTTCATATTTATCTATAAGATCCACATGATGAAGTATTGTGCATAAATATTATGTTTTAGTGGTTCATAATTTGGAAATTAATAGCAATTGGATGCATAACCTTTATAATGCCACAATATTATGTTGCGGCATATTTAAGAAGTATGAGCCATGCAATTAACAAAGTGGGACCAATTTTATTTTATGTCAATGATTACTGGACTTACTCTAAGGCTCTAGCTGCCCCAAGGGCTATCTGAATGCGAGAATTCCATGACAATCTTGTTTTGAACTCATCATCTGAATGCAATGCATCCTGAAGTGATCCATAACTGCAGTACTCATAGATCAGAAGCCTTTGGCCATGCTCAGCACAGTAACCGATAAGCTCAACAATATTTGCATGCCTGATTCTGTCAATATTGTTTACTAGTTCAAGAAACTCCTGATCCTTTTGATGATCAGAAACTCTTTTATCCAGTTTCTTCACAGCAAGTAGCTATTAGTTCATTCAGAAAGTGTGTCAAGTATTAAAAAATATGAATATGATCAATATATACAGACATTTACTTAGCCTGTGACAGACCGATACACAAGATATCCAGACAACACAATACTACATTGACCTATTTACCATGTGGTTCAGAAAATTTACAAGAAAATTATCAAAAACAGAAGAGGTAGAGAAAAAAGTGACCAATAACAATGTTCCTGCACATTTATCCTTAAGTTCTTCAAGAAGCACAAAAATGAAAAAGATATCAGCAGTTAAATTTGCATAAAGAGAACAGGAGCCACATTTATTTATTGCATCATTACCTTGTGGAGGGAAATTTAAAGAAAAATGAAAAATGAAGTTCAACATGTGAAATTAACCCAGAATTTACACTAGAGGAACAACCCAGCAAAAAACATGCAACGAAAATATTATTCTTTCTATATTAAGTTTGACCTCAGAATCATTTAAACAGCCATGATACAATGAGTCAATGACTAGCATTGACTGGCTAATGGTTCTTTTTTCCCAGAGAGGCTATATACACAAAGGAGAAAGTATCAATCAGATTCTTTACTGTAAAATATTTATTAATTATTAAATAATAATTACATTAACCTCCACATTACTGGCTATGTCAAGGCTATTAGAGTCCAGGAAGACAGGTCATACATCGACAAGTGAAACAAACAAAAGGCAAGTTTACAAATAATACAAATCAATGAATCTGTTAAGGAAGAACCATACCTTCCCATCAGGAAGCTCTGCCCTATACACACTCCCCAGCATGCCACCTCCTATAAGGTTTTCTTGAGAAAAGCTGTTTGTACACTGTTGCAGTGATGCAATGGTGAAAGATTTTGCAAAAGTGGGGGAAACTGGTTTTTTAACAGAAGGATTGATTGTAGCCCCTCCATGGAAAGGGATTGGCTCAACAGTCACCTTCTCCTCAGGCGGTGGGGGTGGTGGTGGGGGTGGCGGGGGCGGGGGCGGGGGCGGTGATGGAGGGGGAGGGGGAGGGGGAGGGGGCAATGAGCAGGCATCTAGTGCGCTCATATCTATCTCATGATCATTCAGCTTGGGTAATGTTCCCATTCTTCGCACATCTTTCTCTTGCTCATCATGTGACCTGGGAATAGCTTCTACTCTCCTGGTCTCTGCTTGATCTTCTTTCATCCTCAGAACAGGCCCCTTTGGTACTGTCCAAACATAAAGTTAAATGGTATATCATTAGTTTGAAAAACTAGATATTATATAAAAAAATCAAATGAAAGGCTCATGCCCCAAAAAATACAAGTATTTGCCTTTCTCAGTTTGACTGGGTGGTTGGACTGAAGTCCCATGATCCCTAGCATTGTGTCTGTCATCTCCATATGCTCCAATTTGATGTTGCTTAGAAATCCTGCCAACCCTTTCCCTTCTTCTACATCTTGGAGTAAAGAGAAGGAGAGCCAAGACCAAAATAATAAATCCTAACACACTTGCAATTGATATCCAAACCACCCTTTTCGTGTTCTTTCTTGATTTTCCAGAATTTGATTCCTTTGATGCAGTTGGTCCTTCAGCCGGCTTAGTAGGTGCACGTCCAGAAGTTGGGGCTCCAGGAACCAGGGTTCCTGGTGATGTTGATGCCGGAGAACGAGATGGAGAGGCTGAAGGTGTAGTAACATTAACATTAACATTAAATGGATTCCCATCTTTTCTGCATAACAAACATCATCAATAGTTAATGTAGCCACTAAATTACAAGTATGTATTACTTAAATTTCTGATGCAACAAAATTCAACAAAAGCAGCAAAAAAGAAACACTTACATAAAAAAAATGCAATCAACTCTTGGAAACTTGATTTTTTATCCTAAGACCCTCATGTGATAAAACAGATCCAGAATATTTGGCCAAATTATTCCCCTTAGGTCCTGTTATTGCCCATCGTATAATAGTCTAGTGACCACTTTTTTAAGTTAGCCCACCATTCACCATTCTTCTTCATTGACTAAGTTGACATTATCTTTCTTCTAATAAGCTAATTCAAAACCACAAAGCCCAAATACCTTGTACATTAGAAGCCTAAAACCACAAGATTAAAGCACCAAAGCACATGGCACAAGCAACTAAAACCAAGAGCCATGTCCATATATCTCAAATGCAAGATTTCACCATATTAAGCATAAAAACCAAAATACTTCAAAGTTTTAGCTTTAGCCTTGACCTGAAGTTTGGGATGCTTAGAAGCTTTTGAGGAATTGGTCCATTGAATAGGTTGTTCTCCACGTTCCTGTTCAAACAGGGGTAGAATGTATACGAAATAAACAAGAGGACAAGAAGGAAAACAATTTTAAGATAGTATTTAATACTTAATACATTCCAAAACTTCTATAACTTATCACATCATTAAAATTTATGAGGCAAGGCAAGGAGAAGTACAAATCATTCAGCGGAAGGTCTCGTAAAACATCAAGGGTCCCAGATAGTTGATTGTTCTGCAAATGTCTGCCAATAAGTGATTAGTTAGTTCACATGACGCACAATCAGGAGGTAAGTTCATACAGATGGTCTTACCAAGACCAAATACTCACAGGGAGGCCAAAGTTGACAAATTCTCTGCAGATGGAGGCAGTTCCCCACTTAAATTATTATTCGATAAATCTCTGGACATCAGTATTAATGCACCGTTAGTACCTTCTTTGCAAATAATAAGTAAACAATCTTCACTCAAATAATCTATAATATTTAAAATAAGGTCTTACAGATTAACCAATTTTGCAAGTGATTGAAATACATCCGGGATTTCTCCTGATAATTGATTTTCGTTAAAAGATCTGAAAGGAGATAATTCAGTCTTGTTTAGAGATAATACTACAATAGAATTTGACCTCAATATTTACCAGATATAAATACAAAAATAGGAGAGGCAACAAACTCACATGACAGTCAGTTCAGTCAAAGTAGATAAAGAGGTTGGAATACTTCCCGTGAACTGGTTATCTGAAAGAAAACTAGAATTGTACAGAAAATTATGCCTTATTGTTAAAACTGTTGGCAAGAGCTGGTATTGTATCAAGGTAGGTATTAGTATTACATACAAATTTTGCAAGGAGACTGGCAAGCTTGATGGGATTCTTCCTCCAATGTGGTTGTTGCTTAGATCTCTGCCCCAAAAATGTTTAAAACAATAATGACAGTGCAGAAGAAATATATGTTTACAATAAGGAGGATTGCAGTGGCTCAAGAATTGACTAAATATAATGCATACAGACAAACTCATACAAATGCACGCATGCATTATACCCACTCAAAAAGTGATGAGCGGATGGAGACCAAGAAATACGGTGAGAAAGAGGAAAGGAGAGAGTATTATTACATTTTCTTTATGGAAACAAACGTTCCCAAGCTATCACCAAGTTCGCCTCCCAAATTTGCACCAACAAGAACTCTGTCAGACACCATGTGTTGTTAAAAGGAACAGAGAGCAAACTATCTTGAGAGATATCAAATAATATGAAGAATCAAGAAGATGGGATACCATACATTGCCTGTATATCTGATCCATTACACTGAATGCCTTGCCATGCTTGTCCACATGGGTCTCCCCCACTTGGAACCCACCCAGGGAGAACAGGGGAGCCCAGCGAAGCATACAAGTTATTTATAGCAGAAACTGTTTCAAGAAGGAAATTTTAGAACTCTTATAGACCACAAATACATGGAATTGTTAAAACTATCAGAAACCGAACAATCCTAAATTCCTATTATAATTTTCTAGTTCCAAGTTCCAACACGCCCATAGTTCAGTAGTCCTCCCCACACTGGTACACATAAGTAAGCATGTTCATATTTCACGCTAGCGTTAAAAACAAGGCCGAAGAAGCAGCGAAAATTCGGTACATCAGTTTCTAATGAGGAATAGATTATCCTCCAAAATGTCATTCGAAAATACAAAAGGCTGTCCTGTTAGCTTACAATAGTTGAGCCACCAGTAAATCTCAAGTCAATTCCCACTCATTCTCCCGCGTTACTTCGAAGATCGTATCAGTAATGAATTAAAAATGATGAAACTTAAAAGGCAGAAAAACCTTACCGTCAGTAGGATTCGTGTCCGCTTGTGAAAACTGAATCGTGCAGATCAACATGAATCCCAACAAAACTTGTCCATAGATCTTCGCTCCTTTAAACTCAAAAGCACATCTTATACCACCCATTGATCCCCAGCTCAGTTCAAAATTCACCGACGAAGCTAATCAGGACAGCATCCTCCCAGCTGAAAATCAACCCAAACATTTCGGGGAAAAAAATCAAATTGCAGGAAAATCAACAGACACACTCACACCAGAAAAAAAAAATAGAAGAAGAAGGAAAAAACGCAAAATATCATACATGGCAGAGAAGTGAGGACGGAATCCAAGATTAAAATGAACTCACAGAGGAAGTGAGGAGCTTAAATTTCAGCAAATGCTGGAAGAATAAACGAAAATTAAGCAAGAGAGAAAATTCAATGCACTCTCCAAACGCAAAAACCGGAATTGGAGCTCAACGTATAAACTTAATGCTTAAGAATCAAATGAAAATTAAATAAAAAAATAACAGTGAAGCTGGGAACTTAAGGAAAAGGAAAAGGCATCACCAACAAAGGCTTTTTTTTTTTTTAACATACTATATTCTGTAAAACCCTAGCCTTTGGAGAAAGCTGGAGACCAGGAAAAAGGCAAAGAAAAATACGTGAAGGCACACACACTAGGGAAATTCTCTTAAAAGAGTGAATCTTTCTCCTTTTTCCCCTCTCTGTATGGACAAGGGTTCTCTCGCTTCTCAGCTGAACTTAACAGCTCTGTAAACCATTAAAAAGAAGAGTGCAAGTCATGCATACCTCCTTTGTAAAATGTCTACTGTAAACGCTGAAAGTACCGTGCCACGCGCCTTGCCGACGCGTACAGTTCCGACTTCCAAAGCTATCCTGATCTACTTCAGTGCTTGCACGTTAGTAGAATTCTTATGTTCCCGTTTTTTTCATTATCCGATTTGAAACTTGAAATGATTCCTAACATTGAGACGACTAGTATTTGGCATATTAGCATGTATTCCCTGACAAGGAATAAAAAATTTCCTCGTCTTTGGTAAAATCTCTTCGGTTGACAAAAGGTTGCTATTTAAGTAAACAGTAAAATGATTGACTATATACATGAGTACCATTAAATAAAAAAGATAAAATTATTGTTGATTGACTATACTCGTAATAACGCCCAAAATTTCTAAGAGCTAGTATTGCACTCTGCATTTAAGTTCCGATTCCCAAATAAGAAATAACTAGTCAACGAAAGGCTATTAGATAATATAAAAAATATGAAAAAAAAAATCATATTTCATTTATGTATTAATTTTGTCAACTAATTTTATGATATGTAATATTTAAAAATTGATTTTATGATGATGAACATAATTTGAATACTTATAATTTTAATTTTATAATATATTTTTTATTCTTAAAACTCCAGTCCAATTATGGGGAAACCTTCAATATTCAAGATAATAATGATATTGTTATTGCGCCCTGATGGATAACTTGGTGTTGTTTACGTGCCACGACCGCGCGTTATCGTGAAATTGGAGTTCAGAGGTTACACAACCGTAATTGTCTTGGAGCCGCCAGATTCTCTAAGGTCATCACGTGTTCGGCTGTATGATTGTTATGGGCTCCGTGTCAGCTATTTTCATTTAAGTCCACTGAATTTGAAGTATATTCGCTCTCATTATTTGGTCGAAAGCATATAGATTTCATAATTTCATCTATTACTCCCTTCCCTTCTCATTTTATAGTATTTTTTATAAAATTGTAAATGTAAATATCAATAAAATTATTCACTCCCTCTTATCTAAAATATACTAGTAAGTCATTTATTTTCTAACTTGGTAAACAAAAGTATTCTTCTCAATCTTATTTATAAATTATTTTTAATAATATTATCAAAATCAATAAAAATATATAAACTTTTGTAGATACCGTCTGTTTAATGAGAAAGAGAGAGACATATTTAAAGAGTGAAATAGTTAAAAAACTAATTGTAGAATAAGTTTCATTAATAAATTAACAAATCATGATTTATAAAATTATCTTCTATTATAAAATATCAAATGAGTTCATGAACATATCTTATAAAATGTTGAAGCAATTATTAATAATTATATTTCGATGGTGTGAGAAGTGTTTCGGATAAAAATTAACGAAAATAGCCAATAATCCAAAAGATTGATTCGGAGCTATCAACCCTGAAAAGACTTTCGACGATTGCTCACGGAACTGATGTGTCAAGGCAATGATGGAATTTAAGAAAGTGCATTTTAAAGAGAATAGACCGTAGCAAATGGAGAGAGACCAGGCCTCATCTGCATATTCTCACCCATCTAATTTATCAATTTCAGTGTGCGTTTGCAACAAAATTGTATTTGTCAACTTCAACCCACGTTTCAAAAATAAAGGGCTGTTCAAAACTGTGCTTGTGAAACGGAATTTTAAATCAGAATAGAAAATATATAAATAACAATTGTGTTGAAATTAAATGTGAGAAAAACTTTTACGTGCCTCTTAAAGGATTTTTAAAAATATAAAAAGAAAATTAAATTTCAAATGCGTTGAGGGAGAGACCTGGGCAGAGAAAGGATGGCTGAAAAAAATAAAAGAAAGAGAAAGGGAGGGGGAAAGGAGAGGGTCAATTTTGAAGAAACTATGAAGACCACCACAAAGGTAGGTGGATTTTCGTGTTTGCTAATTGCCATCTTAATCTGTCCCGTCCATGCCATAGCTATCGCCAACGTGGCATGGAACGCGATTCTTCTCAGGCACTGGCACACTCACCCTTATCTCCCCGCCTCCCTTTCCTCCTCCTTTTTGTTCTTTGGTCAAGTTTTCCTCATTCGCTTCGCTGGGAATGAAAGATTATTAATTTATTAACTTTATCCGAAAATGGATTAAATTTCAGGTTTTACCTGAATTTATATAAAAAAATTCAAATTTACATTATAATCTTTGTCATGGTTAATAACCTTAAAAAATAATATTAATTGGTTAAAAATCAAAATAATATTTGAAAAACTTAATTAATCAATTTTACGCTAAAAGAAATATGGTAGTTGATACCTTAAAATTGTTTAAAAATATATGACTTTTCAACTCTGCCCCTCTCTACAATTAATAATTATATTAAATTATTATCTAAAAATTCAAGTAATAATAAATAGACCGGGGATAAAATTAAAAAGGTACATTAATTGCTGTAATTTTGTCTCATGGGACTAAAAAAAGTACGTTTGTCTCGCATCAAGGGCTAGAAGAGGTACACCATCAAATCCCCGTAGCACATGTTTGATTCGTGTTTTTTAAAACGATATCTTATAACAAAAGCTAGGAACCTGGTAAATGTTATTTTGGCCTGAAATTGAAATCTATGCCAATTCAATGATGAGTAATACTATAGCTTAACTAAATTTTTTGTTTACCCAGAGAAAAATAGATTTTAACACGGTATGAAATATTTTCTTCATTTAAAAATATAATGTATTTTTTAAAAGGTTAATTGTTAAAAAATATAAAATATTTTTAATATTTTAAAATATAATGATTATATATTTTAAAGCACGTTTGTCTCGTATCAAGGTTCATCATCAAATGCCCCGTAACACATGTATAATTCGTATTTTTTAAACGATATCTTATAATAAAGGCCAGGAATAGTACTTGGTGGATGTTATTTTGGCCTGAAATTGAAATCTATCCTAATTTAATGGTGACTAATACTATAACTCAGCTAAATTTTTTGTTTACCCGGAGAAAAATAGATTTTAACACAATATAAAATATTCCCTTAGTTTAAAAATATAATATATTTTTAAAAGGTTAGTTGTTAAAAAATACTTTCTTTATTAAAAAATATAAGGCATTTTTAACCGAATCTTACCTCAATAAAGTAGTTACTTACGTATCAACTAATCTTATCTTTTCACATTTATCTCTATTAAACACCCTACAATAAATATAAAGTTATTTTCAATAGGAGTATTTAAAAAAAAGTAATAATTAGACATCGAAAGACTAAAAATACCTTACATTTTTAAACATCTAACTCTTTTAAAAATATTTTACATTTTTAAACAGACGGAGTATAAGATATTTTTAATATTTTAAAGTGTAATGATTGCATATTTTTTAAAAAGTGTCTCTATAAATAAATTATTTTATATTTATTTTAGAGTAAAACACCTTATTAAGCAGGAGTAAAAATGAAAATATTGTGTTAGTTTGAAAATAAATAATTACTTTATTGAAAGTGAGGTTCATTTAATAGAAGAAGTAAATTCTAATTCAATTAAAATTGTTCAAATGCATTAAATATAATGTTTTAAATTGTGCACTAAGTATAATGTTAAATTAGTGCTCCATCCGTTAAAAATGTAAGACATTTTTAATTAAATCTTATCTCAATAAAGTATTTATTTATTTTTAAACTAACACTATATTTTTATATTTATCCAAATGCAATAGCACATTTCATTGTAAAAATAAATATAAAATAATTATTTAATAGGGATACTTTTAAAAAATATATTGATTATACTTTAAAATATTAAAAATGTCTTATATTTTTAAACATTAAACTCCTAGAAAAATAACTTATATTTTTTAAATGAATTGAGTAAAAATTAAGCATGCAGTCATCCTACAGGTACATCTATCCAATTTGTCAAGTACTTTAATGATTCATATGCTATTTGAATAAGCTCATCTATATATATATATATATAAATATATATATATATATATAAATTTGATATATTTTCAAAATGTGGAGATTTATTTTAAATTATAACTAATGATATTTTCACGATCAGTGAGAACTAGGTGTGTTGTGAGGGAGCCCAATTCCTTCCTCTTCTCATATATTTATATGAGTCTTTAAATGTTTGGCTTTATCAAAAAATGAACCCCTCCCTCCTTCAAAAAAAGGCAAATGAAGTTTAATATATTTAGGTGCAATATATACATACTTTTGTAACATTATCTCTTATTTTGTTTACAAGATAAAAAAATGATTTTTTATTCTCTTTATAAGCCTTGTCATTAAATTTTTGTCTTATTTTTCATTAAATTGGGAAATAATGTTAACGGGACCAGTATGAGGCGTTTTTCGCAAAAACACGATTGGATAATCTACGCTCTATTCAACAAAACCGTGTCAAGCCAAATGGCTATAAATGTAATTTGCAAATGGATTGAAGATAAAAGGATTAATATTCACTCTATTTAAAAAATTAAATTAGTAAAAATAATAATGTATGATTTTATTTGATTGAACTAATACAATTTCACTAGATGAAATACGAATGATGTGGTGCATTGTATCCGTATAGTATCCAAACAAAAATTCCTCAACTAACTTAGCTATGTTTAACACATACTTTTAATATTTGTGTATTCGTTTACAATTTTATAAAATTTGAAAAGCACTTATATTTTTTTTATCATCAATTTATAATAATATATTAAAAATAATAAAAAATATAAACACTCACTCATGCACAAATGTATTCTGTATATTTTTTTCTTGAAAATAATTTATTAGATATGAGGTGACATTTTGTATTTTGAGACACCATTGTATATAATTATCATTTAATGACATTATTAAGTTATGAATTATTTTTAAGAAAATAATTATAAATAATATGATAAAAATAAATTAACAATATGTGTGTGGGCTTTTTTTTTGAACAAACAAACACTCTTCGTTCAATAATGAAAGGCAGTTTTGACCGAATTTTATCCTT